GAGAGAGCACAAGCTACTATCTTATGATCACTGCTTTCAAACTCGTTGTATACTTGTACAGATAGGGGAAAGATATCTCTACTAAATATTAGATCAAGTGTACTATCACCCCTTGTCGGGTTACGAACCCACTGTGACCAGCAGTACAAATTAAGGATTGATAAAAATTCATCATTGCTAGACTGACAACTACCGGTACTCCAGTTAATCCCAGGATAATTGAAATCGCCAGTGATAATCTTGGCACTGAAGTTTAGAGTAGATGCGTGTATAAATGCATTGATAATAAGATCATTCAAATTATCAGTACTATCAGGAGCTCTATATATACAACCTAGGAGTAGACTATGATTCAGGGTGTTGATTGATATCCAGATCGATTCTGGTAAACCATTCAAGATACTATCTTCAACTTTGTTAGTTGTTAAGGTATCCAAGCAAATATAAGACAACCGCCTCCTCGCTTAGTTTCTCTGTCACAGCGATAGAGTCGATAGTTTTGGATATTTAATTCGGAATCGGCCACTGCTGGATAACACCACGTTTCAGTGATAAGTATGAAAGAAGGCTTGGCTAGAAAGGCTAAGGTTCTCAAGGCTGAAATTTTGTTTAGAAGTGAACGTGCGTTAATAAGTAATAAGTTTAAAAAGGGAGTGTGTAGTGTAAAAAAACCGAGAGCATCCTTATCGAAGGTATGAGTTCTAGCTATGCCTGGACCATGGTTTCATGTGTTTTCCGGATCGCATGGGCTATAGCATTAGCGAATTGTAATGCTAGTGGAACAAGGGATCTCTGGAGGCCGAAGAAAAAATCCTTATTTTGGTAAGGTTGAATAATTTGTTGTACTTGTTTTGGTGGACAATTAAGACAGGTGCCTGCATGTTGGGGTTGCGTTGATGGTGCATAACCTAGTATACCATCTCCCACACTGCAAGAGTGATGATAAGAGTTACATCTTGCAGGTTTATTATTCATAACATTTGAGGGAAACCATGCAGCACTTTGGTTCATTGCCGATAGATAGCATCAACGACAAAAGTGATCAGTTCTATGAGAGGATGCAATCAATCATAGTGGAGTTCTCAACAAACGATCTCACCATCCTGAGGGAAGACCTCAACGACAAAGTCGGAATAGACAACACCGGATATGAATGTATCATGGAATGACACAGACTAGAAGAACAGGGATGAAAGTGTTGACCGATTTGAAAATTCATTGTGCATTTAATAAAGTGGTTATAGGCGTCACTATATTCCTCCACAAATGAATTCACAAAGCTAAATCGCCCTCACCAGATCAAATCACGAAGAACAAGGTAGATCATATTTACATCATTAAAAACTTGAGAAGCTCAATGGACGACATGAGAACCGGCAGAGGAGCTGACATCACTTCAGATCACCACCAACTCGTGGTTGTCAAGATGAGACTGAAGCTAAACAAGCAGTGGACAACTGAACAAACAGCCTTACGAACGTTCAATACAGACTTACTTCAACATACTGACAATCTCAACCAATTCAAAATAACTCTCAACAACAGGTTGTCAGCCTTACAAAATCTACTCAAATAAGAGGAATCAATCTACTATGGAGGACAATTAGAAAGAGATCAAAGTAGCACTAACTTCAACGTGATACGAGGTTCTGGACCTCAACAAGCATCATCATAACGAATGGATCTCCATCGAAGCTCTAGACACGATTCAACAAAGGAAGAAGAAGAAGATAGAAATTAACAACAATCGAACGAGAACAGAGAAAGTCAAATCACAAGCTGAATACACTGAAGCGAACACGAGAGTGAAGAGAAGCATTTGAGTTGACAAACAGAAATACGTGAAACAGCTAGCAAGGACAGTGTAAAATGATGCAAGGAAAGAGAATATCAAACAATTATATGATACTACGAAGAAACTGGTAGGTGAATGTGGTGAACCAGGGAGACCGATCAAGGACGAAGAAGGCAAGTCGACCACTGAGATTCGAGAACAGAGGAATAGATGGGTAGAACAATTTGAGGGACTCTCAAATCGGTCAGCACCATTAAACCCGCCGTACATTGAAGCAGCACCTACAAACCTTCCTTATTAACAGTGTCACTACTCCACTAACGATCAAAGAAATCAGGTTGGTCGTCAGACAAATCAAGAGTGGGAAAACAACAATACCTGACAATCAACCGGGTGAAGCATTGAAGTCAGACATTCAAGTAACTGCAAACATGCTCCACCTTCTATTCTGGAAGATTTCGGAGGAAGAACAAGTGCAAACGACAGACTGGAAAGAAGGACACCTCATCAAGATATCAAATACAAGAGGTCTGAGAGAATGTGAAAACTACAGAGGAATCACACTGCTGTCAGTATCAGGAAGAGTTCCTAACACAGTGTTGCTGAGCTTGAAGTAGGATTCAGTAGACACCCAACTTCGAGATCGACAGGTTGGATTCCATAATGATTGATCTTGCACTGACCATATCGCGACACTACAGATAACCGTTGAACAATCAATTGAATAGAACTCGTCAATTTACATCAACTTCCCTGACTATGAACAAGTATTTGACAGAGTAGATAGGAGGACCTTATGGAAACTTCCCTGACATTATGGTGTACCTGAGAAGATCGTCAACATTATTCGGAATTCATACGACACTACAAACTCGCGAAAAAATCTGGAAGCAGCTGGATAAGACTTCCACGTACAGAGGTGGATGGAGAATACTTGTGTGCGGCCTGTTTTCTTCTGTGAGGTGTAACTACCGTAGGTAGTTCGGTTAATATTTTTACTGCTCGTCAATGACAACGTTACTTGCTTCACGTATGGACTCGTTAGGTCATGATCACATAGTGAAGTTATTGCTTCTTCAAACCCTTCCCAGTCGTTCTCCATGTTGATTTCCTTTTCTATTAGATTTTGTATGTTTTAGGACATTTTGCCCAGAGAAATCAAGGGTTCTCTAAGTTTTTTATCATTTTAGGCTGCATAAAACTTTTATATCCCGACGAGAATAAGGAATGGTAAGCTGTTAGGGTCTATTTGTGGTCTAATACTATGCATATATTTTTATTGTATAATTGGTAACTAAACTATTCATATTCGTGTCCTCTTTATTATGAACTTTTTTTTGATCTATGAACTATTATTATACGATTCACGTTTCTTGAGTCATGACTCGTCTATCAATTACTATCTCCCTTATTCACAGCCACATTTGGCTGAATCTTGTGCAAATGTTGTTTCCTATTTTATGGTACGACTTGGTCTGTCTGGTTTGTATATAAACCCAGTACGTTTGAAATAAATGAATAATATCGCAGGGACTCCTATGCGTGTTCTGAACTTAACAGACAGGGTTAGGTGAAAAGCAAGGACCGATAAGGACTCTAGGCTGCTAGTAGGGGTTTTACACTTCATTGGTCTGATAGATAACTCACTGTTTCTCTGATTGATACGTCACAAGAAATAACGAAAACTCTTGTAGTTCTGTGTGCCCGACGCTCCAGTTCTCCTTTGACTTCAGTTTTAGCTCGGCCACAACCGGGTGGTGATTTATGACTACAATAACTCTCTCTTTGTTCTTTCCTCTTCCAAGGATTGTTTGAACTTTTTTCTAGTGATCGATTTGGTTCCCCCTAGTGTATGAAACCCATATAGTTTGTTTATGCGTTGGTGAGAGAGTATGGTGCCACCTATTTCCATTTTGTCGAAAACACATAGTTATGCAAGATTCTCACCATTTTGATTCCTTTGTCCCAATTTATGCCGCGCTACGAAGGTTTCATACCTGATGTTGTCCCTACAGTCTTTTGGGTTCAGGTTGAGTACCAGAATAGGCAGGTCTGTTTTAAGGCAGTTTTCCACTATGAACTTCAGCCTTCCATAAAAGCTGTCCTTATTATTTTTGTCTATGACAGGTAACATTCACAGCAGTTCTTCCTTTTTTCTTTGGATCATATCAGATTGTTTGTGGTGTATTTCATTCGCGAATAAAAGAAGACAACATCACCTCTCTCGAAGAAAGTCTTTTCTTTTCAGCTCATATTCAATGCGTATTGATTACTTTAAAGACAGCCAGCCAGCGTCTCCCCATTTTCACAGCCACTTCGATGACACTCCCGGTCTCCTGCATGGTATAGAAGTTCTATGTACTTATAGAAATTGTTGGTTTCCGACATACGATGTTATAGAGTTTCTATTTAGATACCTTTTTACTCTTAAGGCAGAGTTCGTTCGGCTTACCATGTTTAGCGTTTACCTGCCTGTGAATTCGCACTCACTGAACGATCTAATAGAGGACAAATCAAAAATGTAATTGTACTAGTGAATAAACCTTACTTAGCTCGCCTAGATTCATTAACCTTAAAACGTTTAAAATTACAGAAGGAAAAGAAAGATACGATCACAATTCTCTTTTTCAACCATACTCACGTGAAAATCACTAGTATTTTTAAGTGATAAACTATGCATGCAAGTACATCAATTCAGAATATTACTTAGGAAGTATTGTGCAAACGATTTGGCGAGTTAGTAAACCAAGAAATTCATTCCTGAAGGTAAAATTGATAATATCTCAAGGTTACTCTTTAGAAAGGGTTTAGTGTTTTCTTATATACTTGGTAAATTAGATAAGTTTCTTTCCTTCATTGGCTGAGATTGTGAGAATCGTAAATAATGAAAACAAGATTTATACATCTCAACTGATTGGGACCCTATCCTTCAAGTCAAGATCATATAATGATCGTTTGGAGATTTAGGATCTATGCACATAAGTTATAGGCAAACAATCGCCAATATTCTCACGAGATTTGGGTAATCCTATCGACTAATCAACTGTGTAAAAGTACTAAGGATGTTCAGTTTAAACCCATGTCTAGCTCTTTGAAGAAAAAAAACTATGAATTAAGGCTACCGAAAAAGAAGCATCGTGCTCTTCCATCTTCATAGTAAGTGTCTGAAATGTAACGACCACAATTGTTTATTCTTACGAAACACACTACAAAAAATTAAGGTCACAATACGCACATTTATGAAGTTAGGTAGTCAAGGTGATCTCGACTTTGTTATTAAAGCGCTCCTGAATAAATATTATTCGGAATATAACAGTCATTTATTCGAAAATAACAAACCCTTAGTAATTTTAATTCTTATCACAATTTTAAGTCTTTCGTATATTGTTTAATAATTCCACTTTATATTCGTATTGTATAATTATATTAAGTACTACTACGTTTAAACGTAGTTGTACTTTTTATAATGTTTAACCGAATACATGGATGGGAAGTGTTGGTGAGATTTCACTTTTTTCAGTGCTTTTATTGAGTTTTTTGCTGTCAAAGCACGTTTTTCCGAAACTGATTATAACTTGAGTGAATGTCAAGGTTCATCAAACACTTTTACGTATTCTAATGTAGAGCAATTGAATATTCAGATACACATACTACACTCTACAACGCTTTTCGAGCCGTTATTTGCATTTTTATGAATTTATAGTTCGAGTGAAGTTGGGTAACTCCATGCTCTAAATTCCCTATGAAACATCGGGCTTTTGTCGTTTGAGCCTTAGTATGAAGGCAGAGGGTGTCTTAAGGGGTTCTAAAAATCATTTTATGTATGATCATCTTGAGGAGGGGGATTAACAAGTGTAGAACGAGCTACTGATTTAGTAATCTATTTAGATATATTTGCACTTAAAAATGAAAGCGACTGACAATACTCAGCACTGAAATGGTTGTAAGATTACGATAATTCGATTATTAAAACTATGGACTAGTGGGGTCAGATCATAAATGTTCTACCCTCCACTTTTTTTTAATTGTCCAAACTTATAGAAAACAGACCAGCAAAACAGCCCGTTCATTTTTATTTAATTTGTCTGGTCATTATATCCCTTAATGCTCAAATAAACACGCAAACGACAGAGTGAAAAATGGTTCTACGCCTAGGCTCTGGGGTGGCTTAAAAGATTTTCCACATGTTGTGAAACTGAAGAGTTTCTTGTCATAACGTTAACTTAGAAAATATGAACATTATGGTCCATAAAATTAGACACTTTAATATCTTACATCTCAAATATACAGCAGATTTCTAAACAAACACTCATGTTGTTGTATTTAAAAATAGGACATAAAGTGTTTCATGAGGGTAAAATAATAAGAGCTTTACTCCTTAAGTTGTTGAATTACTATATTTATTTGAGACAAGATTAATCTTATTCAGATTTACGATATTCGATTTAAGAAAGAGAAATGAGTGCAGTATATTTGTATTGCATGTCTTTTCCTCTTCATTGAAGCTTTTACAAACACCAAAAAGTTTTTCAAATATTGTCCAACAGATTTTCCAAAGTTATGAATTATTGTAGAGATTTTAAACAGACCTTTCGGAGATTCTCGATTACATATTCTGCCAAAATCTCTGTAGGGTATTTTCCGACACTTAGCTTCAGATGTGGTTTGTTACATATTTGTCATCTTAAACTATTCATAAAAAGCGGTTAAATCCGTAGGCTTATTGAAGAATTTTTGAATGTCTATTTATTTGATGGACGAGTGTACAACTTGGTAGAGCCCTGTAGAGTATGTGTGCAGTACGATTTATGTAGATCCTCTCTCTTTATTTCCTACAAACATTGATGCTGTTTTGTGAACCTGTATATTTATGAAGTTCAAGTCTCCATCCTTAACGCAATTCAGATACCAGAATTTCATTTAAAGAAACGATTAAGTGGAGATATTTGATTAACTTAGCTTGCGTTAAGCACGGAGGACATAAGTTACGTATTCTTGAGACCAGATTTTATCATTTGGTAGATTTATGATTTGAGGTGTTTTACTGTTGTAAAACTTCATTAGGAGAGGAAAATTTCACAAGCACTTTGCAGAAACTACTAAATCGTTGATTAGATCTTACAGAATATTGTAAATTACTAGCTTAAAACTGCTTGCTACTATTCTAAATGCCTATCGATCATTTTAAGATAATGACACGTTGTCCTGTTTTAAGTAATAAAGCCCCATTTTACGAAGTATATTTAGAGAGTTTGTTTCCCTGTTCCTTTTTTCGTCTCAAAACATGCAACTTTGGGAAAATACAACTCAGTCCAAAATCTCGAGATATTCTTATTCATTCACAATGGGATTCAAAATGACGTAATATGCATACTTGAAAATCTCTTTCAGACGAATTAATTGATAAATAATGTACGAAACAGAAGTTCTTCAGTTATAAGCAACAATAATGTACCTGATTTGTGGTTGCAAGTGGAATTCTATTTCCATAAATTTGCGACAAAAAAATTGGAGCTCTAATTCTTTTAGGAAAGACACTTATCATCACTCTCAGGTGGATTTTGATAAGTATATATTCAATAAGCAACTGACTTTGTTTCACTTTAATGACCCAACATCTGATAAATGGAAGGAGTTTAGAAGAACAGCTGAGTCCTTGTTTTGTCATTCCTTTAAACTTGTAATTGAGTTTTATTCAGGAATGAATCAAAGTAATATGAAATGAAGTCTCTGAAGGTCCATTGATTTTTTGGGAATTGTGGAACTACCTTGGTAAATACTGATAACTAGAAGGATGAAACTCACAGTAATTTTACCAACCAATTTGGTATTACCTAAAATGAACAATGTAGACTGCATTGACTGTTGTTTCAGTGATTTTTGGAGCACAGTTGATTACCGATTTACGAAATATTTATTAATGTCTTTGTTTACTCTAATTATATAGTTGTCTTAGGATGAACACACACGTGTCTCCTATTGCTGATTTGATCATAAAGGCATATTTCTAGCTGGAACGATAACGTTTCTTTTTTAGGTGGTTTTCTTGTTTTGCCACATAGAAATATCATTGTATTGGCAGATAAAAGGTATCACGAATCCCCAATAACACTTGAAGCTAAAATCATTGATATTATCATAGTTACTCAACCATATTGCATTATTACGTGGATATTCACAAAAAGTCAGTTATTTTTTTAAATATATTCAGATTAGTTGGAAAACTTCTCATCCTGTCAGAAATAAGTCTACAAGAGAACACGTTCGTAGTTGAACTTTGTTAAACAATGTGTATCAAGTGATGTCATCCTGAAAATACAGTAAAACACAATTTATTATTTATCCAAAGATTCTACAAAATCGTTTTTGGGTGACATATATTAATATAATACTCAGTTTATTAAGTAAATGCATGTTTCAGGGAATAATGAACGGAATTTTATCACTTCCTTGTTTTTTTTAAAAATAAATGAAACTGATTTTTGCAAAAATTTCAGTAAAGATTTACGACAGTGTTATTTTAATGTCAACCATTAATATACATGCCGTACATAATTGAAAAGTTGGTGAGTTTATATGCCAGATTTCTGTATGATATCAATTGTTAGTGATTAAAAATTTTCAGAATTGAAGAAGTTTGTTTTCCTAGTTACGATTTGAAATATGTTGACAAGTTATCGTGGAAGTGATAAAGTTGTGCTTAGTTCATATAACTACTTTTTAAAGACTTTTATGCATTTATTTGGTATTAGATTTTCAAACGCAGTCGTTGCGAAATGATTAATCCAGGTTTAAGGCTGTTTAATAGCTCACAGATTTAAATCCACTGAGAAGTGTCATTTTACTCACTAGGTCAAAACATATCTTGATAACGAGTACAAATTAACACGAAACTTAGGTTTATGACATTCTACTGATCACTTACTGTATTAATCACATTACTATGCAAGTAATTTAGAACCGCTAACAACATATTCCAGAGTTGTTATATTTTTCTATTGTCATACTTATTCTTGGAAAACTATTCTGAATCCATTCAACTATCGAACATGACTTACAAAACACTTAACAGTGTTCCGTACATAATAAAACAATTTGATTTATTTCATATTATATTGTAGTTTGACTCAAACTATTATAAAACTGTGATCTTCACAACTAAATAATCAAGGAAATCTTTTAAGTTTATGGGATAAAATAGTTTGTTTAACAATGGTGATGAAAAACAAGATTTTTCCAAGGGCATGTTTAAATGTTATATTGTTAATATAAGTAATTGTTTCAAAATATTTCTATTTAATTTTAGATCTATTCTATTTTCAATTAGTTTGTTCTGTTAAAAGCATAAACAACATTTTAATATTGTTATAATTAATGATCTTATGAGAATTTTGTTTCGAAAAAAACTAACTCCATTAGTTACTAAATTTCAAGTAAATGTGAACAATATTTGCGAATCATATGATGTAAAGAAAAAGGATAATTTGGAAAATACTGAATCTTGTAAAGTAGAATATACAAATTCAACTGAAAAGGATATTGTATCAGGTAGGTTGAACAATCTGGGACTAGTTTCATTCAACGTAATGAATAATAGTTTTGCAGTCCAAAATGAGCTTGATTTGAGATTTTCTTTAAAAAATACAGATTCTTTTGAAAATAGTATAAAGGTAGATATTGTGTTTGGTCTTAGGATTTTATGAAGTTGTGAAATTGAATTCTAGTAGTGATAACCAAGTTAGTTTCTGTTACAATTATAACCATTAACATAATAAATAATTCATATCTGTGAGATAATTATCAGTTCAACGTGTATCAACCAAGCATATACACACCATCTTAAATCTTAATAAATAATAAGGGAATTAATGTGGGTTTATGTTGGTTAATAAGTAAAAACGTTTTTATACAGACAGAATAAATATATGACTGGAAAAAGAATTTTTGAGACTGTCTAAACTATTCAAACCTTAGCAACTCAAAGGGTACAACTTACTCAGTGAACTCAGTTGGAGGACAGTTATATAAATTCATAAACAATCTTCCAGAAGATATTAATTTATACTTTTTGTGAGTTATTAATTGGAGTGATCTGAAATCTCATACTTTTCAAAATTATTCGACGAGGTTTATCAAGATATAAATTTCTAGTTTAATAAAACTGAAATAAATAATTACTCAAGAATTCTTAAACAGTGGAAAAAAGGGTATAACTTACTTTTCTATGTTTCTTAAAGTGATGATATATGACAAAAATTATTTTCAAATAGTAAACTATGCTGAACATCTAGGATCATGCAATTTTCATAAAGTATTACACAACAACAATGAAAGAAAATAAACCCATTCCTTTATGACATTTATGATCGTATGTTTTAAGAACACTTATAAATACGATTATTACTTTTAGTTTCAAATACGATCCATAAGGTGATTAGGTATATATATGGAGATAAGTAATTAAATAGGCAAGTATTTTAGGATCCGTTTCTCAAATGATATTGAGCTTAAACTTATGCCATAAACTACATTATTCAAACGTTTAACATATTTCTGAATCTTTTTGTTCATCATTTATTCCTTAAAATTTTCATAAATTTTCCGTTAAAACTAATGGCTAAAATTTTCGATATATGATGTGATTAGGAAAAGTGTTATATTACTATTGTGTATGGATAAGCAAATGCCTTCTGCTAAAAAGGGATCTGGCTCAAAGGTAACTGACTGTCAAGTGAGAGGAATCTATGATTAGTGCTGAGAAGTCAATTGTCAGCAGAAATACATCAAACAAACTTTTAAGTAGTTGTTTTATTATGGTCATGTTGTTTAGCTAAAAATTTCATTAATAGAATGTTATATTTTGAGTGCTTGATCGAAATCACCCATTTAGTCAACGTTTTACAAACAAATGTTTCAAATAATCATAAAGAAGAGTAGGATCTTAATTGTTTTGAACGAATAAATTCAATCGCAATGTAGTGAGTTGATTTGTCCAAACATTTCTAGTGAGGTAGCCGGTGTCATATCGATTGTTTGTGCGTACGTGCGTTCTTGCCCAGTTGATATATATGACGTTATAAGACCGCCTATCAGAGAGCAGTGCATTTATCGATCGGATTAATGATACACAAAATCCGTATAAGCAGTCTTGAGTACATATCAGTCCTGCTTTCTGCCTAGCCCAACCAGTTAAGTCCAGAACACCAATAACAGCCTCTGCAATATCAATCATTATTCACAAACATACTGGGTTTAAATGGCAATCAAACTGACCACATCGTACCATAAAATAGAAAATAATATTTGTACAAGATTTGGTCAAATGCGGCTGTGAATAGGGGGAGCAGTAATTAATGAACTAGGGATAACTCAAGAATGGTAAATCGTATAATAATAGTTCATAGGTCAAAATAAAGCTTATGATAAGAGAAACACGAATAGGAATAGTTTAGCTACTTAGTAATTATATAATAAAATATATACATATCACATTGGTCCATATGTAGTCCTCAGAGTTACCATTCATAAATCTCCACGGGATATAACAGCTGGTTTAAAGAAATGTAACATAAATGATCATGTCAGATGTAAATAATCTATCAGAGATTAACCAATTCATGTTTAAAACTCAATTGAGAGCTATAAGACAATCAAAATAAAAAAGAAGAATTCAACTGACTAATCATTACTTCAGTTAAGGAGTTATAAATTGAAAACCTTCAATATTGCATTCCCATATTGTTACATGGGGATTTTAACATATACATCATTAAACTATCTTTTCTTAATCGTTTATGTATACAAAATAATTAAATAGTGACAAGCATATTTCAATCTAAATTTGTTAACAACCTGTAATTTATCATTTCAAAGTTATACATTCATTCAAAATTATTTCTTCTGATACTGAAAAATTTAACAGTTTAGGCAAAACAACAGGATTTCTTCAAATTGATTATATAAAATTACTTTTAACACAAAGTGAACTACAATAATTTTTAATCAAACAATTAATTATTTAATAATTGAATTCATGAGTCAATTGAAGCTAGACTAACATGGAAAACTTGGGAGCACTGGACGGCCGTTTCGTCTTATTGCAGGACTCCTGAGCAGTGCGCATCCACAATCTCGCCTCGCGAGATTCTAACCCAAGATCTACCAGTCTCGCGTCAGAGCACTCAACACCATCGGATGCCGGCTCAGTGGTCTATCAGTTAAGTGATCTTGCGCGAGAATGGTAGGTCCTGGGTTCGAATCTTGCGAGACGAGGTCGTGGATGCACACTGCTCAGGAGTCCCGCAATAGGACGAGACGGCCGTCCAGTGCTTTCAGGTTTTCCATGTTAGTCTAGCTTCAATTGACTCATGCTTTCAACTATGAAGAATACTGAAATCTCCATAAAACCCTTCTGATATTATAAATTTTTGTTTGCTTTTTTATGCTGAAATTTTAGATTCCCAATCATCAAGTCTAGATGATAATTCACTTTCTCATCTTTTACCAATCAATAATAATGAAAAGAATAATTTGCCAAAAGATAAAAACGATGAAAATAAACTCAATGAAGATCTATCTTGTTTAACTGAACCAAATCTATGTGAAAAAGAGAATTTATCAAGTTACTTAAATAACGAATCTTTAATAAATACAATCAAATGTTTAAATGAACCAAAATTACAAAAACATGAAAATGATACCTTGGAAACAGTAGAAAAGACCAATAAAATAATATCTGATAAAAAGGAATTCATAAAAGAAGTTTCACAAATTCATCATTCAAAATTATCCAATTTTCCTATTATAAAAAATAATGAAAATAAATTATTAAGACGAATTAAAACTGAACGTCATTGTAATAATAATAATAATAATGTACAATTTAATATCATTGAAAAAAATTGTCAACTATCAACAGAACGTTTAAAAATAGCTAAAGATGAAGTTGATGAAGCAATAAAAGTATGTTTAGTATTGTTGTTTGAAAAAAAGTTATCATTTAAATTATATAATAATTAGTATAGAATTGTGTAGATTATTGAGTTTGATTGAAATCATGAACCAATCAATTAGCTTGTTTGGCTTTTGCCAACTTACGTCACCTATGGTGAAGACGAAATATCCATCTACCAATTAAGGGACGAGTATACTGCATAGCAGTTTGCTCTATTCTACTTTACGGCTGTGTAAAATGGCCATTAAGAGTAGAAGATACTCGTAAGCTACTAATATTTGACCACAAATGTCTTAGAAATATTGCTCACATCTGCTGGGATCACAGCGTAAGTAACAGTGTGGTTGGACGCAGGGTATTAAGGAATGATGGTAAATCAGTTGATGGGGTTGGGGATCTTCATCGACTGAGATGGTTGGGCCACGTGTTACATATGTCTGAACACCGATTACCACGACGCGCTATGCTGACTGGTATTGGCAATGGTTGGAAAATAGTTAGGGGAAGCCAAACCAAAACGTGGCATCAGAGCTTGAAGTCACTAACTTCTAGTCTAAGCCATGTTGGTAAATGCAGACTACTTGGTTGGGGTCCGCGTGACTATCGTAACCAATGGTTGAAGACTCTGTGTGACATGTCTCAAAATCGATCACAATGGCGTAGGTGTATACACTCTTTATATACCCTTAAACCTTGAGATTAAAATTGCTTCATATCTATTATCCTTCCAGTACTATATCCTTATATAAAACCTATCTTTTATATACTACCACCACTAAATTAACTACTATGAATTCGGTATTCATCTTGTTGTTCTAATGAGTTATGGCAACTTGGACCGATGCATTTATGTGCCTAGTCCTACATTGTAGCTGACTGACTGACTGAAAACAAATCGACTGTCCAGTTCTTCTGGGTTTTTGATAGTAGTCTAACTTTGCTCATTTCGTGATTTCAGTGAAACTCAACAATTCCCATAACTCTGTATGAATTATTATCATACGCTCACTAGTGACTAGCTTCGGGAGTAAATTCTCGGGGTTCTAGTGAGAAGGCGTGGTCAGTAAAGTTTAGCCGTGTCGGTTGTGAGACAGTTATCCACTGAAAACGATGGAAAATGGTAACAAAATATCCTGAATTGATCGGGAATAGAGAATAACACCTTTGGATCTCCACTCAGTGGTCTAAGGGTTAAGCGTTCGTGTGCAACACTGAAAGTTTCGGGTTCGATTTTTGCGTGTGACGTCGTGGATTTACACTACTTAGAAGTCCCATACTAGGATGGAACGGTCATCTAGTGCCTCCAAGTTTTCAATAACGGTCTATCATTGATCGGTTAATGAGTTCAGTATAGATTATATATTACTGAGTATATGGTCAGTTTTTTAATCACTGATAATAATATATAACTCTTTACAACTAATATTACCTTACTGAATAAAATAAAATGATATATATGACAATATAGGCACACAACATTATTTTTTCTACGGAAACAAACGCATCCTTTCAGGTTCTCATATTTTACATTATTATGGAAAGAGAAAAATCCAAATAACAGTAATGTATTTCAGTTAAATCAGTAAATAAACAACAGGAAATACATTGAATCTAATCATTTAATCAGATGTAAGGAAGTTCAGTATGAAATAAAATAAGTAAACACCCATTATTTATTTTAAATTCGTTGTTCAACTTTTTAAAAAAAACATTATTACTTCAGTTACTGGTAAGACACATCAAACTATCAGTAGTATGTTATGTTTCTTCTCGACGACGAAGCTACTTTAAAATACTAATTAAGCAACAAATTTGTATGAATGCCTTACAAAGTCATAATTTACCGGTAACTTAAATAATAGTGTTGATTATTGTGTAAAATTAAGATGAAACATAAATTAATTTACTGATTTTCTGTTCATACTGAATAGAGTCGAAAAATATTTTCTGTTCTTGGTCCTTATAATCGTATAAGAAAAGCATTACGAACTCGTGGATGGATTGAGAAATTTGATGTCAATATTGGACCACCAGGACAAACTACACAAGAATCAAAGAAAACTATACGATCGATTACTAATGTAAAAACTGTACGAAATTCCAATTCATCTTCGAATGATACAGCACTAGAAGATTCTGAAGATGGAGATTCAGATGATGATGTGAATGCTGTGAATGAGGGTATGCTTCTTTCCATATTATTAAGCAGTTTTCATTAATGATTATTTTGCCCTAGAGTCTGAAATAGCTCGAAACCTATGATCTTGTTATCCTATTATACAAGAATGATTGAAATAATACTTATATTTTTCTTAGTTTACCGAAATGGCACCTACTGTTTAACTGAGAAAATCAGTCCCATGAACAAATATTGGAAGATATGATAACTATACCATAGTTTAATTTTTACGAAGATGATTTTTCATCAGGAGTGGAAATCAACTGAGTAAACATCATAAACCGAAGATCATTAGACAACATTTTCTTCATAGTTTGGAATTTTCTAGTAACGTACTTGCAATCTATCGTTTTATGACATTTTTTTAGACCCTAAGGATTCACGAACCAATATATACTTTTCATCCACGGTATTGCTATACAGATGACTATTGGTTCTAACCGTATAAATAACAGATAATTTAATTCAAAATAGTATACTGTATAATAACTAATTACCTGAACCGATTAAGATCAAAAGTGAAAATTGACCACAGTAATTTGTCAACCGTAGATATCTGAAAGATACATGTTAATCTTAAATTAACAAAATCTGATTTCACTAGTGTTTTGGTAAGATAATAGATCTTCAAATTTCAGCTTCAATATTTTCCTAATTTCTACATTCTAACAGGTTTCTTGATAAAATGTAATTATCAAATCAGTTGATTAATTTTACATAGCGTTGAACACCTCACGGAATATTTGTTTTCAAACGTAACCTATACTGCCCCCAAATGCCCTGGTACTATCGAGAGTGGGGAGAGTCAGATCTCCCTCTCGAAATGCTCTCACATGACCACGCGTATATGGTCTCTGCCAGGGAAATCCTACTCACTGCCTTCCCGTGGCATTACTGTTGTTTACGAAATTGAGAGGACGAAAAGCGAATGTGCGGCGCTATAAACGGGTTGATGGACCCTCCGTGTCCACCTAGGGCAGTTGGAGAAACCTGGTTCCAAACCTGTGGTGCACATGAGCTCCAGTATCCCGAGGGAACAAATGGCGTATGAATCAACAGTTGGTCACTGGCTACCATGGGAATGTATCTCCTCACGATGCTCCACCGCCTTGTGGATCAGACCTTTAGGTCAAAGGCTCTGGGTGTGACCCCCTAGGAAAATTACCTGCTTCAGTTTGGGCACATGAGCAGTATCACAGCCCTCACACAAATAAAATGAAATTTGTGTGGCGCATATATATCTGGTGCCCCCTTGTACCAATATTTGTGTGTTTAAATGAATAAAATAACCTATACTAATTTGATTTTGAATTTTGGTGTGTTTATCTTCAATAAAAAAGTGGTAATTAAATAGTTAGTTAATATTTGGTATTTCTAAATATATTTCCTTCACTACAATGCATCAAATCTAACAGAAAAACAACGTGTTCAACCGTGGGAAGAAGATAATGGATACTATGGATTATTGGTAGGTGTGACCTTATTTTAATGAGCATAGAATTAGTAAAATATGATTAGAGTGATTTTGTCCCTATAATTTGTTCTGTTACGGCCAATAACATATGTATTTGCAAGAGAGACTACTTTAAAAAAAAGGGGTGTATGTAGTGCTCTGCTGATGGGTCCATAAATTATGGGGTTGATGAATGTCTTAAACTCCAACATCGAGATCTGTTTCACAATTTAACTGGTAATTTTTAATAACTCATTGTGATAAAATATACTGGTAAGTAGACAACAACTTTCCTATTAAAACAGCCATTATTTCTATGATCATTAATGATATATTTTGTTACAGTAAGGAATTTTCAGCACCAGTTGAGTAATATACTAGTAAATGTCTCTTTAATACACAATTAAATTGTAATTACTCAAAAATTCTATTTCAGTAATATATTTTGAAGCACTGGACGGCCGTTTTGTCCTAGTGTGGGACTCTTCTATATCATGGAAAATTATAACAATATTCTACTCAAGCTTGAGTATGAACCATTACCCACAGAGATTTTAAGAATTCGAAATTGAAGTTCTGTAAATAAATTAATATCTATGAGATAATGATTTGATTAAATCTTATTCAAGTTCAATTTCGATTGAATTCACTGGAAATATTAATATTCCTTGGTAGAAAGCTGAATATTTTTAACGATTGCAGAGACATAAACATACATCACCTATAAGAAGCATATTATTTTTACTATTGTCTTCAAACTATTTTCATGCTGAATAGGGAACTATACCTTTCAAGCGATTAAAGTAACTTTCTACAATCTAAACCCTAAACTTATATTGACTTTTCATATATAACGAATGAACTCTATATCTATGTGTTAATTTTGTTAAGATTACGAAGAGTTGTAAATGAGACAGTTTATCGAGTGAAAAAGATACAACCATTGTGATTATGAATTATTGTGCTTAATAATTATGAATCATTTAAATAGTTAAGTGTTAGTCTGTTAACAAATCTTTGATTTACAATTTTCATATTGTTATTACTTATATCGTTCAACTAGTAGAACAGGAGAAGTTAGAACGGAGTTCGAACTAGTGACTCGGTGTTTGAAAGTCGTGTTCTTTAGCTTCTACACCAATGCTTCATAATAACAATAAAACTATGAAATAATGAGTGTAATGTATGATAAGTAACCCCTTTTTCAACTAAACATAACTGCTTATTGTCATTATAGGGTTGTAGAGATTGTTGAATGTTACTGGAATCATGAGCTTATCTAAGTTAGAAAACCATTGAAAGCCTAGAAGTAATGGCTGTCCGTTTTTCCTTAGTACGGGACTACTAGGAAGTACGCATCTAATAACAAGTGAAGCTAAAACGTGTTGGATGTGAAGGTAATATCCACTTAAGACAATGGAAGATGGTCGAGAAATATCATGAATTCCTTGAAGTTAAACTTGTAAGCTATTGGATCCCTGCTTAATGGTTTAGAGCTTCATCGTTTGTTCACGAGACTGAGTGTCCTGGGTCCGACTTCTGGTTGTGGTGGGGTGTTTCTAAGTTTTTATTGGTCGCCAAACTTAAATAGGTTGATGATTTCAAAAATAATTGTTTATATATTTCTATCCTTGTAAAGAAAAATATGAATTTCGATTTTCAAAATATCGTTATTTTTGTACTGTTTTAGTCACGTATGGTTCGTTCAGAGTTGCCAAGATTTATTTGGTCACTACGTAAAAATCAAGTTGATTTTCATAATCTTCAAAAAGATCAAATTATTAATCATCATAGTGGTGCACCATTTACAACTAAAGTAAGTAATTATGCATTTATTCATTTATTTGTTGATAAAAGTTTAATACTTTTCATTGAGTTTTAGTGTTCAATATATGTATATATATATATATATATTATTAATTTGTAAGTGGATGATGTTAAATAATCCTACCGGATCTATGTGAAACGCTCATCCTTAAAATCTCTGATAATAATCATGTATTAAATCTTAATTTATAGTAATGTTTACATTTTCATTCAAGTGTACTATCTTCTCATCAGCAAATGTGATGTCGTGTGAAGCGAAAGGTACTTTGTTCGAATCCCAGAGTGAACATCAACTCTGAGATGCAGGTACAACCAGTTGACGAGTTCCAAGTAGGACAAAACACGCATCCTGTATTCCACTGCTAGCCAATATCCATCTTTGCTTATAATGCTTGTGAATTAAGGCTATATTGAGGCAATACGCACAGTATGTACATATGCCAATAAGAGACTAACCAGTTGCAGTCCTAAACATCAATGGGTAGAATCAAACAAACAATACTAAGTGAATTTATACTTTCCTGTCTGTATTCAGTAATTTACATTTTATATACGATAATGAATATCGTGTAAATAAATAAAATTATCAATGATTGAACGAGTATTTGACTCAAACAACAACAAAAAAGAGAAATTCTTACAATAAATGGAAAACAAAAAAAAAACAGTTCCACCAAATGTTCAATAAAAAAATTTAATGAGATTCATGGCACACCCAATTTTTTATTCGATAGAAAGAAAAGTAATAAAAACTATTAATTTTAAATAAAAATAATTTTATCGAATTTATTTCCAAGTGTAATTTTTTCTACTATTTTTTGGTATCTATGACCACTGACAAAATGTAATAATAAAAAAAATTTTATCTTACTAAAATATACATTTAGTTGAGATCATGAGTCATTTGAAGCTAGACCACCATGGAAAACCTGGAAGCACTGGATGGTCGTTTCGTTCTATTGTGGGACTCCTCAGCAGTGCGAATCCAAGATCCCGCCTAGCGAGACTTGAATCTAGGACCTACCAGTTTCGCGCCAAAGCACTTAACCGATAGACCGCTCAGCCGTCATCCAACGGTGTTAATGTCTAACTTCAACCAATCCACGAAATTGAGCAACCATTTCACCAATGTCTTCAGTGAGTTAATATCTCTCAACAGACTTGGTTAAACTCCACTGGTTACTACTCAACTATATAAAATTACTAAAATCTCCACAAAACCGCCTTTCTGAAAATATACATTTATTCACTTATTGTTTAAATCATAATACTAGAAATGAGTTACTGACTTTGATTTGTTTCTAAGTATTTTCTTTAAGTGAGCCTTGGTTAAAGTGTTCAATGAACAAAGAAAGTACTTATTTATTATCAATGAAATGTATATTACAGAATATGAACGCCCAAAAATTACAAACCATAAACATAAAGTTAATAGGCTTATAACTTATTATGTATTTTATTTGAGATCCTGTTTCTATTCACTAAGTTATTAGCTTACATTATAATTACATCTTATCTGGTGCTATCTGGATCTTCTTTTTCTGTTGAAACAAAAGCAACCATGTATTAAGTATAATTACAAAATAAACAGTAAATCAATCTGGTTTACTGTGTGACTTTTTATGGGTAAAAATATTCATACATCTCAAATAATTTTTAAATTAGATTAAATTAGTTACATAAATTCTGTTATGAATTTAAAAAAATAAGGCCGTAGGCTAATTTGTTGTGGTCTTATGTCCGGCTTTTTATCACGTGAATTATCCAGCAATCAATATACAACTTTTCCAATCTTAGCACTGTGACAAATCAATGACGTTCAACTGGTATGAGCAGTCTAGTGCCTGTATTGGTCCTTTGTCTGCCAAGCCCTTCCAATTGAGTCCAAAAACACCAATTTCAGCTTCTACTATGCGAATCATTTATTTCAAGCATACTCGGTTTATATACCAGAGAGGCTGCATCACACCATAAAATAGAAAAAAATATTTGTACAAAATCAAGCCAGATGTGGCTGTGGACGTGGGAGACAGTAATCAAATAAATTGATTATAATTTAGGGACAGTTATTCGTATAATAATAATCCACAGGTCAAAATGAAGCTTATAATAAGATGAATATAGATATACATAATTTAATTACTCAATAGTTAAACCAGAAGAATATATATAGAATAATCGTCCATTAATAGGTCCCGGAAATTACCCGTACTTATGTCTTCGCTAGGATATAACAAATTCAAAAAGACAAATAGAACTCAGTCAATATTCCGTTTTATCATCTGAATGATGATTAAACAATATTATTAACCAAATAAAATTAAAAATGTGAACGACCTAACTTTGACTAAGTGATTGATTAGTATCAAAATTGTCCCAATACTTGGATAGTTTATATCAAATCCTGGATGAAAACGTTGATTTATACTAATGAATGATCAAAATTGAGACTTTTCAGTCGCTTAGTGACTTTTTCAATTGTTGTTAGTTCATAGTGAAAACCTGTATTCAAATATTATGAAATCTCTACAAAATCACTTTAAATAACTCTGATATTCTTAACGTATGCTTTTTGGAAATTTATTTCTGAATAAATATTCAGATTCAAATAGTCTAAATGGTTTTGTCAAACACGTACATTCTGAATTAGGAAAGTTTGGATCGAGTAATTTGAGATCATGTGTGAATTTATGGGCTGATGATAACTTAAAGTAAGAAGTATTTCAATTCTACTGTTATATTCATCAATTCATGCTGAAAATGAAAAGAGTTATCGCAATTAAGAGTCATTATTATTTCTTATTACCAATGAAGTTATTATTTCTCATTAATAGACTTCTTAAGATCATACTCTCATTTAATTTGTTTAGTATATAAAACATTTCATTATACCTCTTAAATAACAATTTGATTTTTATAGTTAAAATCAGGGACTGACCTTAGACAACTATTGAGAATTGAGGAAAAATGGACAACTGTTTTGTCCTAGTATGGGACCCCTCAGAAATGATTGCTTCCCTGGAGATTGGACGGTAGACCTTTGATTTCGGGCTCGAGTGGTAAACCTTTAGATCACTGAGCTAACATTAAATACTTCCTGGTTTTCAATAGTTGTTTCACTAATATAAGTCCATGAATTTAACCATCAAATTCAAAAATATTCATAAACTCCTTATAGTAGTGATAGTTTTGTATTACTTGGTGGTATTATCGATCTAATTTAGGTTGGACTATGTAAACAATTACGTCAAATAAGATGGTTTGCTGACTGTAATGCTGATTACTTTTTTCCGCGTTGTTTTATTATCAGTGAAGAAGAAGATCGGCAATCTTTCATAAGTAAGTTCTATTATGAACATACCATTCTATCAAAAGTTATGACTTATCATATTTCCAGTGTGAGTCAACAACACATTAATCTATCTTTAAAACTATTACGCTAGTACAAGTTTATTTTTCAGACCATGAACTAAGCGTAAATCTTTGCTGTTCCTATGATTTTTACGTTAAAAATTTCATGACAAAAATGTCTTTTAGACTGTTAGGTTAGTTTATTTAAGTTTTTAGATTGTTCGAAAAATGAGAATGGCGTAATCTTCTTTTTAAATGAATAAAGCTAAAAACATAAGACAATAGATTTCAATTCAGTAGTTTGAAGATATTTTTGGAAATCATAAGGCCTAATTGTTCATTAAATACTAGTCTCAGAAATTTATGCATGATTGCCTTGTAACTAAGATATTAAGAACTATACTGTCTTCACACTATTCATCAATATTAGTTTTCATGTCTCAGTTCGTACGTCTCCAAATTAGGTAGCGATGGAAACCAATCAGTGAATATTTGCATTTCATAAGGTAATGATTATTGGTAAAATTTGATGCTACCATGTCATGGATGATTGAATTCAACCCAGAAATTTTTTTATATACCTACTAGATCTAATGTCAATTAAATTAGTTAATTTTGATAACTTAGTGAGCTTTTTAGAAAACGTCACACAAATTATGTCTGACAAAATGGAAATTGCCTAACTTATAAACTAAGACCCCTATATATATATATATATATATATATATATATATATATATATAAGTTTAAGTTGTCTCTTCGTCAACATTGTGGATTGGATTTGATCGGTCTCTTTTAATATATATGTATTCTTAACCGATTGTCTCAATAATAACTTTACTTGTAAGTTTTAGTAAATTTGGATAAGTGCGATGGATTCTATAGCTAATCGCAGTGAGACCATATTTGCAGATAAACCAATCAGAGTTAGAATAATAGGTCTTGTATTTTGGCGCGAAATTCATTCATTCATTTTGCTAAATGGCGTTTTTCATTTTATCTGATATCAGTTCGTGATGAAAACCCTAAATCTAATTCCTAACCGTATAAATTACAGTCCTAATTCTTCACACTGGTTTATAACCCTGATTTAGCTCTCGTAAGTAGGTGAACATTCTCAAGGTCACCACGGGATTGCTCACAGGTCGTCCACAAATTATAGTCTCACCTTAATCTCAGTTCAACTTCACTAAAGACTGATTATTTATTTTATTGTTAATAACTAACCTTCACATTTTCATTGTTTCCCTACCGTAGATGATTTTAGATTAACAGCATGTATATCCATCGTAAAAATGATTGCAAATCTAATTTCCGACGTTAATCAATTAGACTCATTTGTGGTTCGATCCAATCCTAAAATTGTTTGTGATATGAATAATGTAGGTGAGACTAATGAAAATGTAAATACTACAAAGAATTCTAACGTTCTGGAAATTGAAGGTTCCCCAAATATTGATTTATCTAGAGAGAATTCCTTATCTTTTTTAAATAACACAATATCCTATAAAAAAGTTTGGAATATAAGTGAGTTTATTGATTTCATTAGCTCCTCGGATGATTTTTCACTTGTCGACAATTTTTAATAATTGTAAATATCTTGTGAAATTATTTCAAATAAGGTATATTATGATTATGATCTTCTATTTCTTGTCTCCAAGTTCTTTGAAGTAAACTAATTACATTTGATGAGTATATATTAGTATTTCGCAAATATTTCTCCATATTAAATTCACTTGGTATTGTTTGTTTGAATCTACCCATATATGTCTAGAGCTACAATTGATCAGTCTCTTATTGGCATATGTGTATACAGTGCGTATTGCCTCGATATAGCCTTAATTCACAAGCATTATAATCAAAGATTGATAGTAGGTAGCAATGGAATCCAGGACGCGTGTTGGGATTCGTCAACTGGATATACCTGCATCTCAGAGTTGATATCCACATCAATGGGAAGATTTAAACAAACAACACCAGGTAAATTTAAACTTCACCTCATTGCTCAATCTAGTGGCTATCAGGACTCAGTAGCTAAGTGGATAAGGTGATGGTGTTTGAAGCGGACGGTACAGGACTCGAGTTTTGGAGTGAACATCAACTGTGTGATGCAGGTACATTCAGCCGACAAATCCCTAATAGGACGAAACGTGCGTCCTGGATTTGACTGCCACTATCCATCTTTGCTCATAAGTATGCAAATTGTACCGAATAATCGGTTACCTTTTACATAAAATAAAATCATATTGTATAACTAAAACTAAGTAATAAAAAATATTCAAGAGTAATTTCTGTCAGTCAAAAAAAGAAAAAAATAAACAAAGATAGATTTTATCTGGCAACTTTCTAATTCAGTCATTAAATAACAATCAGAAATAATGTGTTATATCGATTGCCTGGGTGCCTAGTTATTATATATGACATGAATATGAATAGTTAAGTTACTTAGCAATTATATAATAGGAAATATGCATATCATATTGGTCCATAAGTAGTCCTCAAAGTTACCATTCGCAATTCTCTTTGGGATATAAATGTCAGATTAATGAATAGTTACTATCCATTATCTTCATCATTAGAAACTTTTCACATAAACAATCTTATCTTTCAATTGAAATATATTACTTTTCTATCTACTGAAATACAAATTTCCTATATTATTTTTATGAAAGTTAAAATGTTAAAGTCTAAAAGTGTACTCATCCTAAAAAATGGCATCTCTATCAATAGTATACGTACTATTTGACTAATGTTGTAAATGAAAAACGTCAACTGTACCGTACTCTGGCAATGAAAGATTTGTATTTTTTTTATCATCGAACGAATTGGTTTGATCGCTTTTTTCAAAAATAAACTATCTTATTGAGTGTTTTAACGATAAGGTATTGACTTAGGTGAATTCAGTTAACTCTTATAGTGTTATATTTAAATGATAGACTTTATCTGATTACTACATATAGCCTGCAGCACAGCTTATTACAAATGACATCTAACTTTCGAATGATTTGTTGTTGTTATAAGTTATTTAGAAATGTTAACAATTTCATTATTTATGACTGGTATTCCTACCTTTTCATGATAGTCCACTTCGTATTGCGTATACCGTTGTACGTGAGTTATCCAGTAACTTTGTTAAAGTTGTATAAATAAGTTGTGTTTTTTTCACTTCTTTTCTGATTAATTCAGATTTTGCACCAAGCGACTTATTGAACAATTTTGAAATTCCAGATGAAATTATAGAATTTTCTATTTTTCAATGTCAAGAATTTCTTAAGACCAAGTATCATGATGATCTTGACAGGTCAAGTAAAGTATGTTTCATGTTTATTTAAGAAAAATAATGTTTTTTATGCATCCAAATACATACATCAATGTCTCATATAGAATCATCGTTCTCTGTTAATGATTTATGTATAAACATACTGTTTTATTAAATATTAATCCTATTTTTCTAGCTAGTGGCTTTGTTTCTGATATTAGTTCATCCAGGAGTTTGGGTCTCGTAAGCAACCAACATTAGGATACATAGTATCATTCAACATCAACCATCGATCCATATTCCATTCATTCGTTTTGAAGAGTACAAACTTCGTTCATTCATCGATTCATCAGAATTCTCTATCATACTGTAAAAACCCTTTATCATTATTATTGATATCGCGTTGTAAGATGGAATTAAGTCAAATCGACCATGACTAAATGAATAGTTCAATTAATAATGATGGTCCTGCTACATTAGTCTTTCTCTTACCATGTGAACCGAAAACCGTATAAGATTTGTGTTGGTTTCTCGATAGTATTAAACCGCCATTCATTTTAATGGCTTTATATTCATTCTACTGAAATTACTTCCTTATGCCTGTTACTCATCGTGGAGCATAGGCTGACAACCAGGATTTTCCGACCTGTTCTGTCCTGGAATTTTATTGAAATAGCAAATGAATATTGATTCACTGGAGATAAATAGTCGTAGAACGTACCATTAATCGACAGATCTAGTAGAATTCCACAATATTCTTAAATTATTTCTTTCAAATTACATGCAGAAATATTATCTTACAGTTAGACTAATGCGATTTGCGTATGCAGAATTGTTGCTACAGTGAAAATATAAACAAAAACCTTGTTTCTGTTTATGTCACTGATTTACAGGACAGAATTGTTTGTCAGTTTCGTTGTTCTATCAACTGATAAGTTGAAAACTATGTGAAGAGTTCACTTTTAGATAAAGCCTAAATTAATCTTTTAACAATATTATGTTCAATCTACTGTAGTTACTTCAAACGCTACCTCTTTTTTGATTACATCAGTTCTGAAGTGTTCATTTAGATTAGTTTATGTAAATATGTTCTAACTTTTGTACTAAACTGGTGGACACGAAAAGTCCACCTAGGGGAGTTGGTAAACCCTGATTATAAACCAGTGGTGCACATTGGCTCCACGATCCTAAGGGAACAAATGGCGTATGAATCAATTGTTGGTCACCAGCTACCATGGGACTGCATCTCCTGAAGTTCTTCAAATGCCTTATGGATCAGACCTTTAGGCCAAAGGCTACGTGTGTGGCCCCCTAAGAAAACCGCCTGCTTCAGTTTGGGCACCTGGGAAGTACCACAGCCCTTACACAAATCAAATGAGATTTGTGCGGCATATATATATATATATATATATATATATATATATATATATATAGTGCCCCCTTGTACCAATATTTATGTGTTTAAATAAATAAATCAACTGAATGAAATGATTTAGAAATGTTATATACCTCTTAAGTTTAAAAACGAAATAAGCATTTCTGAAACTGCTAAATGCTTATATTTCCATTAAACAGTTGAATCATATTTATTGGTTAAACTTTTATGTCATTATTTTAAAAGATTTTGTGTTGGAAAAATAAAGTTTTTTTAGTGCTAAAGTCTCTAATTCACTTTTTATTAACATATAGTATAAGTGACATAGCTTGTTCTTTATTGACCGTGTCTTTTATGAATTCAAAATCTTGAAGAAAAAAAGATTAATTGGTAAGTCAGTAGGTCTATGGAGCTTCGAAATTGGATTAAAACTTATAGGCAAATCAACATGCTAGCTAAATATGTAATTAAAGGGGGGGGAATGGTAAGATCCTTTAGTAAGCAGGTGTTAGAATTGTATTCAAAGTAATGATTTCTAAATTTATAATCTAGTCCTCTATTTTACAGTGTTACAAAACCCATCTCTTGGATAATTAAAATATTTCTCCTTCAGAAATCTAATCTTACAGATCGAACATGCGGCTATTGAACCGACAGTTCGTTGATGATTAATTCAAATCTAATTAGGATATTAAGTTAGTTGAATTTATTACTTCCACATCCTTGTAAAAATTCCATGATCAAGTAAATCGAATTGAGTTATGTAGTAACTCAGTTACTAACAATTACTAGTTTTTTATCTCTTAGGATTTCGAAGAAACGCTTCTACTTGGCTGATCTCACTGACGACAAATATTTGTATTAGTTATTTATATTTACATCCGTACAAAAAAGACGTGGTGACTAAGATGATGTAAAAAATTTACTTTATCAGTAGATTTAATCCAAAAAGCACTCAACTATTGCTACATTTGATTATATACATATTGAATTATTTCACTGTATGTAAAGGATAGTTTATGAAGAAAAAGATTTGATTTAGTTTGAGTCTCTTCTTCCACAAAGAGTCCAGTCCGACGTTTATTACATTTAGATTTATAATTTAAGGTATAATCAGTCCCAAGAATGCGAAGCGTAAATCGTCTCTGAATGGATTTCAACGTGAATTTATCCTTTACATGGACGCTACTAAGAATAAACGTGAAGTATCCTAGGAGTGGTTAAACATAATTTTTACATCAAAATACGTAATTCGTTGTTATGGAGGTTACGAATTATGCAACCTATAAAACGTTAGGACTTGAAGGTTTGTTTCGAGACCTGTTCTGTGAAGGGCGGATTGTAAGAGTACCTAAGTCCAAAGTCCACTACTGTATGTAGCTTAAATAACACCGTATAATTTATGGTAAGATATAAGTAGAGTGGTTTATTACTGAAGCATATTTACCTACATTTAGTTGTGTTAAACTCCAACTGTTATTCTGAGAACAACTAGGTTACCTTGTTAAGCTCCATATTGATGTAATTTTAAATATGGTTCAGCTCATGAGGAAGAAAATACACTACTTTAAGATCATCTACATATTGAAGAGGCTTACCTATATTCATATATTCATATCAATAATCCAAAAATTGGTCACACATAGAACAAAATGTACCGTTTAAAATCATATAATATTAAATCTAATATTACTTGCAAAATAAAACAAAATGTTTAGTATTGAGTTAACTCATTTGAATGAATTTTTTTTAATTTTAAATGAAATTGTAAGTTTAGTGATCAGGATAAATGTGATAAGAGTGTATTGAAAAAAATAGAAGTTCCTCATTCATTTATCAGCATTTTAATATTGAAAATTTATTTATTTATTTAAACACATAAATATTGGTACAATGAGGCACCAGATATATATGCACCACACAAATCTCATTTGATTCTTGTGAGGGCTGTGATACTTCCCAGGTGCCCAGACCAAAGCAGGTGGTTTTCTTAGGGGCCCGTACCCGGAGCCTTTGACCTAAAGGTGTGATCCATAAGGCAGTGGAACAACGTTAGGAGATGCAGTCCCATGGTAGCCGGTGACCAACAATTGATTCATACTCCATTTGTTCCCTCAGGATACTGGAGCCCATGTGTACCATTGGTTTATAATCAGAGTCTACCAACTCCCCTAGGTGGACTTTCCGTGTCCACCAACCCGTTTAAAACGCCGCACATTCGCTTTTCGTCCTCTCAGTTTCGTGAACAACAGTAATGCCACGAGAACGCAGTGAATAGGACTTCCCTGGAAGAGGCTATATGTGCGTGGTCATGTGAGAGCATTTCGAGAAGGAGAGGGGACTCTCCCCACTCTCGGTCGTACCAGGGTATTTGGGGGAAATATTGAAAATATATTCAAACTATCAGATAGAAGTTTTTCTCTCAATCTTCACTCTGTGATTGTAGCAGTGTATTAGCACCATTTAAAAAAAAACTAAAATAATGAAATCATACAACTGTCTAAATTTAAAATATTTTTGGTAGACTAGTGTATAGTTAAATAGATTTTTTACAAATGTGATATTAGTGTGACATTTGACTAATTTGGTCTTCAATTTCAACAACATGTTAATTAGAAGGAAGGATAAGTCAGTTCATAAAAATATAATAATCTATTCTCTTGAAGAATATTTTGACCATTTTCATGGGTTTTACCATTAGACTGGCAGTCTGCTTAAACATCTAGGCTACCTGTTCCTGTCATCTAGATATTTCAACAAGTTATCTAATTTTGTTTGTTTTAATACATTATTATGGCTATTAATCGCATAAGCTATTGGGGTGTGTTTCTGAAAAGTGTACAACCTTTCGTTGTACAAGTTACAAAAGGCCTAATCAGAGATATTGTGGGTGCTGGCAACATGTAACGAAAAGAATGTACATCATTTAGATGTCAACTGACTGGACTGCGAACATCTAACTGGCGATCAGTCAATATTTATCGTCAAGATCGACAAAGAATTAAGAAACGGAAACATGTTCAATGCTTTGTGCTGAGAATTCTATATTGTACCAGAAATATAATATTGAACAAAGCTAATAATAATAAATAATGTGATTTATCTGTTTACTTTTACAGCATTCATTTTCTTCTGAATATCCTTGGGATAAATTTTTATCTTGGTATTATCAAATAATAAAGTGAGCAATAGTTTACTTATTTTTCTTTTTGTTAACAAATATGATTAAATTATCCATTGATCTTAAAGTATTTCAGATATATTTCTCTATAAATCGTCGACATGTTGTAATTTTTAAAACATATAATAATTAGGAACGTTATATATCAGTTTTATGTAAGTGTGTAAACATAGTTTATAGTTTTCGATACAACAGAATAATCATAGTTCAAGCGTTCTGATCATTGATTAGTTTGACTTGGGATATCACGACCTACTTCGAGGAATCCATTCTATGGTTAATCATGAAACCTTAAGATAGCAGTTTACGAAGATTATTGTTTCATATTACAAATTGATTAGTTACTAATGGTTATGTGTGAAACTGAAATGGTTTGGTTCGGCCCAAGGAAGAAGACAAACACCAAAGACGCAAGAAGATTTATTTAAAATGTAAACATTATATTTAAAACAACATCTTAATACTCTTATCTATATTCATATATGATTTATAGATATTACTGGCTAGATTTGTATAACTAAGAATATTACATTCCTGGAACTATGAAAATTTAATCAAATGTTATGTTATACGGCTGTTCCAGGTTGTATCTCTTTGTTGGGTAGTGAGTACATACAGATGAGAAGTTCCAAAACTAACAAGCGCAATCTTCCATTGATAAAGTATTTCGCAGTTGACGTCAGTTAGAGTTAAAATCCAAAGTCAAAGGGAATACTTTTTCACAAACTTCCTATCAAAATTATACAACTTATTCATTAGTTACCAAAAAAGTAGTTTAACATTAAATAACAAATAACAAATAGTTACTTATATGGCGAAAAATCAAATGGACATAATGTACATGTAAGTGTCATCCAGTAACTTAATTCACATTCGAAGAAAAACATACTGCTTATATTGTTGAGGCGATTCTGAAAATTTCTCTCAATAGACAAGAAAGACTCAGGAAACACTAAGAAGCATTTTACCCAATCAGCGTTTGATTAGAAGTCTTGCTAGAAACATCACGAAAGTAAAAAGTCACATGTAAAGTTTCTGATTGACTGGTTACTACACTGCTACTATGTTTAGTAGTATTCTAGTATTTTCAGGAAAACCCAAGGACTTCTGAAATACTATAAAACCCTATAATTTCTGTACATAAATGAACCTTTGGAGTAAAGTGCTTCTCGTATATTTTGTGCCTTTTCTCTCATGTTCAAGTCGCTGCGTAGATTTAGCTTGGGGGTTACGAGATTAGCTTAGGATCCGAGTATAGAGTTCAATTAGCAATACTTATCATGTATAAAGGTAATCCATGACATTCAATTATTTTAAAAGATAGTTCATATCATTTGCAGAACTAAGAAATATCAAAAAAACACCTGATAGCTTTTTTACTCTCGCTTGAAACTCCTTTAAAATGTCCATCTACTTGCATACACTAAAATTAAATTTGAAATTTTCTTAAGTCTCAGTTTGTGTTGAAATTCATTCACAAACTGAATAACATCTATACTAAATTAGCCCCATAACTAAATAAATAAATCGTACATCAGATGATCGAAAAACTAGACAAAAAATGTCTCGTTAAATATCTTTTGTCGAAGTGTAGTGGACGAGAACACAAGTAGGAACAATGGAATATATTTGAACACAAAATTACAGAACGTCTTAGTAAAATCTGAGAATCATACAGTAAATACTTAATTTGCAAAATGTCAAACAATGAATTGTCTCAAACTTAACTGTTCCTTTTGCAAATGTCAATCAATCGTCTCAAACTTCATTGTTCTTTCGTACCCACATCAATCAATCACTGTTCTCGTTTTCTTTCTTTCGATCTTAACCTTTTGCCGCCAGACATTTATCTTTTGATTGATGATACATATGACTTATATCTATCGATATCAGTATCAGACACCGTAGAAGTAACTTACAGTAGTTATATTAAAATAACTGAAAATTCATATTTAAATTATTAGTATCTTTGATCATTGATTTCTTAAACGGTAGAAATTTAAACCAACACGGAGAACGCCAAGCCAATCACACTTGATGGAGAAACTCTGGAAGATGTGGGGTCTATCACGTACCTGGAAAGCATCATTGATGAACAGGGAGGATCGGATGCAGATGTAAAGGCGAGGATTGGCAAAGCAAGGACAGCATTCCTACAATGGAAGAACATATGGAACTCAAAACAACTGTCAACTAAATTTAAAGTGAGAATCTTCAGTACGAACGTCAAGGCAGTCCTATTGTACGGAGCTGAAACGTGGAGAACTACTACGACCATCATCAAGAAGGTACAAGTATCTATAAACAGTTGTTTACGCAAAATACTCAACATTAACTGGCTGAATGCCATCAGCGACAGCCTTTTGTGGGAAAGCAAAAATCAGTTTCCAGCTGAAGCGGAAATTAGGAAGAGACTATAGAAGTCGAACAGACATACATTAAGGAAATCAGCAAACTGCATAACGAGGCAAGCACTAACTTGGAATCATAATAGAAAATCTTAGAAATATTCATGTATTTTGTGAATGCTTCTTTTTTTCTGACTAATACTTATAAGAACAGCTATTGTGTAAAATTACAACTTTTTTATCATTTTAACTTTAAATTAACTATAAACTGTGGTTACAATTATATAGAAACGTCTATAAACAGCTCTAGTGACATGGATCTTTTTTTCAGTATGACGGGACAGTACAAACTTGTATTATTCTTTATAATTAATTAAATGATGATAATATCTGAATAATTTATATTATATTCAAAATATTTTAGAATGCCTCATTTACTTGTGACAGCTAAACATTTATCATCTCATTGTCAATATCTTTGTAAATTACTTAAAAAATATTGTCCACAATTTGATATGGATGGAGTTCGTAATGTTTGGATTGTAAAACCTGGTGCAAAATCAAGAGGGAGAGGTGAGTTATTGTCATTGTTTTTTTATATTTATTTTGTAGTTTTACTGATTAGAAGATTAATTTGTTCATATTATGTAACAAATATACCAGTAATCATTCTTCAACTGTTCGTGACATATAATAGCAATATTAATTGAATGATGAATCTTTTATGACAAAACGTTTGTTGCCCATACGGTGGACAGATTTATTTTACATGTAACATTCAGGCGAGTACTGGATTTTATGTAGCTTAAAGGTATGATATATCATGGAAGAGTGTTCAGATAAGTCTATCCCGAAGAACTTGGTTGAGAGAAGAAACGAAATAGAATGTAAACAACTAAAATGGATTTACATTTGATAACCGAAGGAATAAATTATAATCATTAGCGGTAGACGCGTGAAGTCAAGAAAATCTGACATTCAAAACTAGGAGACAGTAGAGTACTGTTGCAAATGAGTAACATATAACTAAATTGAGCATATACTTTGGTATGATGTGGTCAGTTTGATTGGTATATAAACCCAGTATTTTTTGAGAATAATGATTCATATTGTAGAGGCTATTATTGGTGTTCTGGACTTAACTGTCTGGGCTAGGTAGAAAGCAGAACTGATAAGTACTCTAGACTGTTCATACGGGTTTTCATGTATCATTGCTCTGATCGATAATTCACTCCTCTCTAATTTGCGGTCTTATCACTCATACATATAAACAGGGCAAGTACGCACATCACACGATATAACAAAAATTTGTTATTCATTCATACAAAATGCTTAGTATCATGTAATTTGTACTTTAGTCATAAGATGTTTGTACTAAACCCATTGTTTAATTCATCATCCATATATATAATATTATAGTAAGACAAAGGATATTGTTAACCCTGAATAATTATTGATTTTGATCTGCCTTTTGTACTTTTTTAAAAACGGTTTTTTCACTTCCTTCAATATGTTTTTTTCAAACTTAGTAATTTGCCCATTAACGTTTATTTAAAACTTTCATTTACCTATCTGAGTCTACAGTTTATTTTACTTATTCTTTTCAGGTATCGTTTGTCATGATCGATTAGATAATATTTTAAAAATTGTACAAGGTAGTGTATTTCTTACTGAATCACGTTATGTTGTACAGAAATATATTGAAAGACCATTATTAATATATAGAACAAAATTTGATATTAGACAATGGTTTCTTATAACTGATTGGGCACCATTAACTGTATGGTGGTATCAAGATTGTTATTTAAGATTTTGTTCCCAAGAATTCACTTTGAATGATTTCAGTGAGTAAGTTTAATTTGTACATTAAATATATAAGTTAAAACGAAAAAAACTTTCATATTTATTTATTTCAACCATATAGAAATACTTAATTATGTCAGTTAGGAAAAATTCACCAACCTGTTATTGATGAAACTCATAGTTTTTTTGAATAACTCCAAACATACTGAATGTAGTAATAACTTTATATTTTTTCACAAATAATGACCTTTTTAAAGATGTTTCTCAGGGCAACAACTGTTAATCAATTTTTAATTGAAACAATCCTCTTACCTTTCGACTATAATGGTCACATATTAGAATACTGCCTAACTTTAGTCAGTGTTGAAAGCCGGTTATTATGGATAGCCCTCACACAAAACAGTGTTGTTTATAGTCGAGCTTGTGCTTATTAGATAAGCTACAATAGATTTTTCACATTTCAATTTTTCGGAATAGAGAATGTTATGTAGCTTGAAGGCTAAATGATAATGGCACGAGTTGACTAGTAACGGTTGACATAAATTACGTATTCATTAAATAGTTGAAAAATCTTTGGAATCTTGGCAACAGGCCTTTGATAATTTGATCATGAGTTCAGATGACACTCTCAACTTGTCACATACAGCTCCCTTCATGATTTTGAAGACAGCAAGTACGAAGATTTGAGGGGGGATAATATTGATTCATTTTATTTCATATCAGCTGCTTACGGCCTGAAATATTTAAAAATGATAATTTTAAAGGGAGTTGAAAATGCTGACATACATGAAGTTCGTTGGACGTTGTTTTGATTACAAACCAACATTATACCTCAAGGATGTAAATACATTTACTAGACCTAACAAAGACACTAAAATATATATATATGTTGAAGAACATTCTACAACACTGCGAAGAACAAACAATTAAATGGCTGGAAATAAGTGGTCACGTTATGAACAAACGCTTACAATAAGAATCAAATGAGTCAAGCTCAAATGGTTTGGGAGAAATTTATTCAACCAGAAGAGAGTAGAGAAAATGATGTAACGGTGCAATCGATCGAGAGAAATAGTTGAAAATAATTTTATGGTGTAACAAAATGCTATCTAGTAAAAGAAAGGTTAACAACTATTTCGTTTTGGGCACAGATCAGGTTTTTGATTACTGATACTAATAGCCTCAGGAAACTGCAGAAACTTAAAGCTTGGCTATTCAGTAAGTACTTTGAAAGAGTTTAAGGTATTGACTTGATGTCCAATATCCAATAAATGTCTACGGGTTGTGCTATTTTAAAGTACTTCCAAATGGAACATGTCCAAAGAGTCAAAGATAAGTTCTCCTTTCTCTTAAACCAGTATAGCTACTTTGATGGGTGCATGTAAATACATGAACACAATTGTCCCTAATATAATGGGAGTACTTGTTAACCATTAACTGAGTTTTTGACCATCTTACTGTATTCGGTAATAATAGTTTGGCTGTCGGGTAAGTTCTATCAATGCAATATTGAATCCTCTTTTTTGCCTGGCTGTGTTTAAGGGATGTATTTTTAATTATCTTCAACCCATTGTTCAATTATTTCATCATTAAGCACTTAATTTCAGTTCTACTCTGTCTTAGAACTCTCTTCTTTTACATTTAATAGTTGCATAGAACATTTTATTTCTTCGTATTACTTATTTTCATCCACTGCTACCCTTAACTCATGGTGTTCGCTTGTTCGGAAATAGATTGAAAGAAAGCTAGGGATAGCCAACGGAAAACGTGTTGTCAGTCCAAGAAGACATTGACTGTTGAACTGAGCCATGTTGGTTGATACGGACTACCTGGTTGGGGTTTGTGTAGTCATTGTAACCAGTGGCTAAAGAAGTTGGTTGACATGGTTCAGAATCAGTAACAGTAGCTTAGATGCAACCACTCCTTGTTAATCCTTAGATCATGAGTTATAAAATTATTTTGTGCCTTTTATCCCGAGAATTCATCCACACTTTTCGAATTCTACTGTCTATGTTTAATGTTTTCTCCTGGTACCGTTACTATTCCTACTGTGTCATCTATCTTGAAATGTTTATCTCAGTGTAAAGGCTTGAACCGATGCACATACGTGCCAGATTCTGCGTCTCTGATAACTGATTCGTAGTAACTTTATTTGAATCTCTCATAAATCATTCCGATATATGTTCATATTAACTTTTAACCAGATTTTTATAAGTATTTTAAACTTTATCAGTAATTTTGACACTAAAATATTATCAGGTTGTAATCAACAAGTGACAGCGTGACAAAGTAAAAAATAAATCCATGTTATTCAACTCAAACAGTCGCTCTATGTTATTTTCGAGTTAACTGGAAGAAACTATATATGCAAGTTGGTGGTTGGAGGTGATCGACAGTAAACTCTATAGGACTGAAATATATTTACAATTGATTAATCCCTGAGTAGTGACTAGTGCCATGCACATAAGGTCTCTGATTGTTAAGCTGGGTGGTGCAGGATTGAATCTATCAGGGAACCTCAGATTCTCCAGGATTACAGGTAAATCTTGCTGATGGGTTTCATCTAAAAAGAAACCTAGGTCAAGTATTTCCTGGAGACAACTCACAACCACAATTTTACGTCTCATTATAGTGAACTTAATGTCAGGCCACTTAGACCAGTGGTCACAATGTAACAGGATCAGTAGAGTTCAATTAGCACATAAGAAGTACTTGTCGTGCATGACACTTATTAATGATTGGCGAATTGTAGATAAAAAACAAATCATTAGAACTCCTACTATTTTGCGATATTCAACCAAATGTTACGTTTTTTTCATCACCCATTTGATTTGTTCCATATCTTTCTTCTGTTTAAAGATCAATACATCTTTGTAACAATTGTATACAACATAAATATAAAAATGGACCTAGATCATCGAAATTACCAGATGAAAATATGTGGACCTGGGAACAATTTCAAACTTGGCTAACGTAAGTTGTAAACGAGATATTAATATTTAAGTTCTATTCCTAACACGACGGAAAAGATTCATAGTTCAGAAGAATGGTTTCTTTGACAAAGTTGTAAAACTCTCAGTATTTGTTTGATGTTTGCAAAACAAATTATTATTCACTTATGAATCAGTGACCTGTTAGGTGTTAATGTTTATTTAAGGATTGATCGTTCTTTTATATTCCATTAGAAGTAAATAGCATTTCTATGTAAGAACTTCCGTCTAAATTGGAGCTAATAGTTTCACAGTATTTGAGCGCCGAGTTGATGTAAGACATTAAATAGGAGATTTTACAAATATATTATTCCTATTTAAATAACATTTCATTTTTCATAGTGATTTAACTGTTATTTGTGAAACTTATATTCGTACTGATCTGATTATGAGAACTACCAATAAAAAATGTGTTAATTTACTTCATTTATAGTAAGAGCATAACCATGTTGCCCACTAACCCATTTAACTGGATATCGATGCTGTTTCCATGGTCAAACATCTAATCCTGTGTACAATCATGGCCACATACAACTGAGAAGGTTTGAACTAGAGTAATATGTTTCTTAAATCCATCGTAGATCTTCACTTGCTATCAGTCTATGATAAATGATTACCTTTCAATTATACAAATATCCAAAATACCATATTAGGGGACTATGCAATTCAATTTATTGAAATCATATATATCATATTTGAGCACATAGATGAAGGTGATGTAAATATCATGTTCAGTTTTTTGTGGAAGAGATTTTGTTGGGATGACCCTGCATTTTTCTCGCAAGCGACATGACAAGCTCGTGAGTCATCAAGGAGCATTTCAACCAATCAGCGATTAATTAGAAGTTATGTGAAGTTATGTTACTAAAATAACGAGAGTGAAAAAGTCACATGTGGAGATCCTGATTAGCTGATTAATATACTGCTACTATGTTTAGCAGTATTCTAGAACTTTCGGTAAAACTCAAGGACTATTAAATTACTATAAAATCCCTGTATTTTCTGTACATAAAGGAACCCTATAGTAAAGTGCTTCCCACACACTTTGTGCCTTTTCTCTGGTCTTAAGTCGCGGTGTATAGTTCCAGCTCGGGGATACGGAACTAGCTTAGTGAAGCGAATATAGCGTTCACAATCGGCCAGACGTAACAGATTTATAAACAAGACTCAAATTGGAATTTGTGAAAACTGTAGTCTATATATTTAATTAGAGATTTAGTTTGAATGATTTACTAGTTAATCTATTCATCTAAAACAATTTTATAAGATTAAGATTAAAATTTAATTAAACTAAGTTTGTGCTGATGATGTCGTTCAGAAGGACGATGAAAGCTCCACGGCCAAACCATCCAGCTCAGAGAACAAAACTCCATCAACACAAAGTTTATCTTTGTATTATTTCATAAGATTTCATTATTCATTTTATTTGTTGATATTTGAAGAAACCGGTTTTCCCAAGTCTCAAACATGTGTCAATTATATAATTCAGTCTTTTTGTCTCAAAGATAATTTTAAAGATATCATATTATGCTCGTTATATCCCGTGGAGATTTATGAATGGTAACTTTGAACACTATTAATGAACCAATATGATATGTATATTTCCTATTGTATAATTGCTAACTAACTAAACTATTCATATTCCTGTCCCTCTTATTATGAGCTTTATTTTGACCTATAGACTATTATTATTCGATCTACCATTTTTGAGTCCATTAATTACTGTTCTCCCTACTCACAGTCACATTTGGCTGAATCTTGTAGAAATGTTATTTTCTATTTTATGGTATGATGTGGTCAATTTGTTTGGTATATAAACCCAGTATGTTTTGAGAATAATGATTGATATTGCAGAGGCTATTATTGGTGTTCTGGACTTAACTGGTTGGGCTGGGTAGAAAGCAGAACTGATAAGTACTCTAGACTGCTCATATGGTTTCTCGTGTATCATTGCTCTGATTGATAATTCACTCCTTTCTGATTGACGGGAATCAGCACGTTCATATATTAAAGAGGGCACGCACTCAATCGATATAACAATGCTTATGATTGATAAATAGCCTATTTACTTCGAACGATTCATTAAAATTAATTATTAGTCACAGTTCATTATCTGAGCTAAATAGTTTAACTATTGAGCTTTCATTAAGCTTACTTTAGCAAGGGGCTGAACATGTTGTCCAAAAGAACAATGAAATCGCTAAAATTAAACATGACACTACTAAAAGCATTCATTAAAACTATAAATTTTCTGCATTATTTCAACAATTCTTTATTTATTTAACACTTTATGATTATACTAAATATAGTGAACAAGGTCAACCGAATTTATGGACAGAGAAAATTCAACCAGCAATGAAAAATGCTGTTCTAAATGTACTGTTATCTTCACAAGAATCAATTGAACCTAGAAAAGTAAGCAGTTCATTGTTTATTGTTTAATATCCAGTTTGAACATTGTGATTTACGTACATCTTACATGAAAGTAACAATTAGCATTAACAAATTAGCAAATAGTCTCTTTAAACTATTTTCTTTAACAGTATGTTATTATATTTGTTGTGATCTTTTGTTCCTGAATACTTCAAGTTATCTAGAGTACATATCATTCTTAAAATCATTTAACATTAAATTAAACTATTGAAGGTATCAATGCCAAAGTTGGGCTTGGTAGTTTCAAATAAATTAAACATTGGGTAGAAAGTTAATAATAAATATATCTTTTATTATATCCTATTAAGTAGGAGAAATTGTATTTTTGACGTTACATAACTCAGTATCAGCTACTTCTTCAAAATAAATTATTCTACTCATTGGGATATAACAAAAATATATTTATTTTTGAACTATTGAAGTTTATTGAGTTTACTATTAATTTCAATGTACAAACAGACTAAAACATGCCACTAGGTGATCTCAAAATATAAGAACCTTGAACTGTATAACTAAAATAAATTAAAAACGTGATCAAAATGTTTCTAAAACAGTTCAAGTATGGAATCTATAATAACTAGGTATTATTTTCTGATTTTCCAGACATTTAACCCCTAAATATAATTCTTAATAAAAATAATATATTTTTAATAGTATAGTTGAAAGCGTGAGTCAATTGAAGCTAGACCACCATGGAAAACCTGGAAACACTGGACGGCCGTTTCGTCTTATTATGGGACTCCTCGGCAGTGCGCATCCACGAACCCGCTCTCGCGAAATTCGAACCCAGGACCTACTATAATAAATACTAAATCTCCACAAAACCCCTTCTATAATTAATACAATCGTATGCTCACTAGCGACTTCGAGAAGTATATCTAGGAGCTATACTGAGAAGCAGTGACCAGTAGAGTTCAAAACCACGTCTGTTGTGAGATAGGAACTCACTGAAGACAATTGGTGAATGGTTGCTCAACTTCGTGGATCAGTTGAAGTTAGACATTAACACCGTTGAATGCCAACTCAGTGGTCTATCGGTTAAGGGCTTCGGCTCGAAACTGGTAGGTCCTGGGTTCGAATCTCGCTCGCGAGAGTGGGTTCGTGGATGCGCACTGCTGAGGAGTCTCATAGTAGGACGAAGCGGCCGTCCAGTGTTTCCAGGTTTTCCATGGTGGTCTAGCTTCAATTGACTCACGCTTTCAACTATAATAAATACTAAATCTCCACAAAACCCCTTCTATAATTAATATTTTTAATACCCGAATGAGTAGAAAAATTAAGTTTTTTAAATTTTCTGATGTTTCGTAACTCAGTCAAAGCCGCTTCTTCGGAAAATAAATTTTAAGAAAATATGATTCATTATCTTGGGTCGTTTTATTTCTGTCAATTACACTTCTTTGTTTATTTTGACTTATTTTAACTTTCCTTTATTATACGACGTTCAATTTTTCAATAATTCACTCAGTAGTTTCTGATAATTAAATCACCTTTTTCTAGCTTGTCAATGAATATCTTTCAAGTGGTTAGTCATTCAATATTATTGATTAATTTAAACGGATATCATTTAATGAATCTTTGAAAATTAAGAAGTTATAAATAGATATTTGTTTTAACCTTATTTTTGAAGTCCTTAGGGTCGTGTACCGAAAACTCTACACAGAAATAAACCCATAAATTTTTAATATTATGTAGTGTAATATACATAAATTCATTTGTAATCAAAGTGAGTTAGTTATTGTTGGGGAGATCCAGAAAATTTCTCGGAAAAAAACCAAAAAAAGACTTTGAAAACTTTGAGAAACATCTTATCCAATTAGCATTCAATAAAAGCTTTTCCAGAAACATCTAGAAGGTGAAAAGTCATATGTCGCATTTCTAATTGGATGATTGCTTATACTGCTAGAATGTTCAATAGCGTTCCAGTAATTTCCAAGAGCTCAAGGCCATCTAAAATACTATAAATACCCTAAATTTTCTGTACATAAACAAACCTTTGGAATAAAGCGTTTCTTTCATATTTCATGCCTTTACTCTTATATTCAAGTCGTTGTGTAGATTTAGCCCAGGGGGAGGTATTAAAAGAGTTTAGGAAACTGAATCTAGCATCCATTTAGAAGACTTTGTTTTTTAAAATAAATATTTTATTCATATATAGTGTTGTGTCGATCCTGAAAATTTCTCGCAATAGACATGACAAACTCAGGAAACATTAAGAAGTATTTTATCCAATCAGCGTTTGACTAGAAGTTTTACTAGAAACAGCACGAAAATGAAAAGTCACATGTAGAGTTTCTGATTGGCTGATTACTATGCTGCTACTATGTTTAGTAGCATCCCAGATATTTCAGGAAAACCCAAGGACTTATAAAATACTATAAAACACTATAATTTCTGTACATAAATGAACCTTTAGAGTAAAGTGCTTCTCGCATATTTTGTGCCTTTTCTCTCGTGTTCAAGTCGCTGTGTAGTCCTAGCTTAGGGTTTATGATATTAGCTTAGGATCCGAATATAGCATTCAGTCAGCAAGACTTATCATCTAGTTTATTTTTATGGATATTAAATTTTTCCAAATATATTTTTAATTTAATATTATTGTATATTATTTAATTATTTATAATAAATTATCGTTTGTTTTTGTTTTAAACAAAAATGGACTTATAAGGTCATTTTATTCATTAATTAGTTTTTTTTTTATTTTCTTTTTTCTCTTTCAAAATTTATTACTCATTAAACTGATTAATAAATAAGTTGATGCGGTAAATTAAATGTAATTCAATTTATTAATTATTTTAATTGTTTTCTTCTCTTCTAATATAATTAAAATAGTAAAGGAATTGTCTTTATTATTCAAGTGTACATTTTTTTTAAAAAAAAATTTAATATATTACTATGGTTACGATGAAGTTAGTTGATTCGAGTAAACTTTAACGTTATTCATATTTAAGAAGTGTTATCTTGACCTAATCTTATAAATAATTTTTGTTAATGTAATTAATCTTTAAAGTACAACTCAATGAGTTGATCATTAGGTTTTTTTCCATTTTTAAGCTACAGTATCATCTTTTTAGTTGAATCAAAGTATATGAAATGTAGTTTCTAGGTAACATTCTGTTTAGTGTTTCAAAGACTTATCAATGATAGATAATTATAAATGTATAACTGATATATAAATATATATAAGGTAATTTCAATTATTTCGTTTGTTTACTTAAAACTATTATAAATTAGCGTATGGTCTAACTCTTCACAGTAATGTAATTTACTTTCTGGATTATGTCAGCTATGGGTTCTTTAGGCTGAAGGTTGATCAAACATATAGCTGGATATATGTGACGAACACTTTACCTACACCACATGTGGTGCATTTTGAAAAAATAACAAGTTAGCCAATGTATCCATGTCAAGATTTTGTCAAGTACCCAATTACCAAGTTTAGTAAGATTTCCAGTGTGTGTAAATAATTTTGATTGAGATCATGAACCGATTGATATTAGACCACCACTGAAAACCTGGAAGCAATAGATACTAGTATCGCCCTATTGTGGGATTCCTCAGCAGTGTGCATCCACGATCCCGCTTTGTGGTGTTCGAACCCAGGGCATTCAGTTTCGCGCGCAAACGCTAAACCCTTTGACCACTGAGCCGGCATCCAGCAGTGTTGACATTTTCTCACTAGTGACTAGCTTCTTGAGGGGATTCTCGAATTTCCAGTGAGAAGTCGTGATCAGTGAAGCCAAACCGTGTCAAGTAGAGACAAGTATCTACCTCAGTACAATGGAAGATGTTCGCGCAATTTCGTGAATTGGTTGAGATTAGATATTAACACTATTGAATGCCGGCTCAATGATCTAGAGGTTAAGCGTTTGCGCGCGAAGGCCCTGTGTTCGAACACCGCGAGAGGGGTCGTGTATGCCCACTGCTGAGGAACCCCACAATAGGACGATACGACATCCAGTGCCTCCAGGTTTTCAACGGTGGTCTAATATCAATCGGTTCATGATTTCAATCAAAAATATAACAATCGCCACATTCCCATATTAGTATGTAAATCAGTCAACACGCTCATACATACTTCCCCATATGGATGAATACTGATAAGGATATAGTTAAGCAACATAATCCAGGTTTATGGTTTTAGCACTTATTTTCTTCTTTTGAATAATTGTTAATAACTGAATGATCTTTATGGACAAAATATTTCTTTGTAGCATGCTTTACATGTCTATCCCCAATTTTCTTTACAATTATCCTACTAAATAAATGCTTTCTTATGAGTTTTATTGGCTTATTTAGCTATTTTACCAGGTAAACACACCACGGTCATACAGAAATTAATTTTTTGGAATCTAAACCAAATCTTCAAAATAAAATGAGTGTTTTCGTTTTCCTACAGCGTTTTATATTTTACTAGTGAAATAGATGTACGTTAATGAAAATTTATACTGTCATCAATGCTTCATTTTAACACATGGAGTCGATAAGCCTAGCGCAAACATCTTTGTAATGTGGTCATGAATATTGAATATAATTTTATAGTTAGTGGGATCATGGAAATCTTTACTCTCACGGACAGAAATGAAGAGTATATATTTCAATGTTAGGTGGTTAAAAGCAATCAGCAGGTGATGGTCAACTTGGATTTCATGTTATTTAGGAATGTTAAGTGGTCAGAGGTAGTCAAGAGGAAAACCTAGGCTTAGGTTTCGTGCTAGTCGTCACTAATGTACGAGGCCCACCTGCAACCTTTAAGGAGCTAGTGCTTCTTCGAGAATCCGAACCCTAGTCACTCAGCTGAGACGCTTCCACTAGACCATTCGCGATCCAACTGACATCATCCCGATTACCTCTAACTACCTCTAACATCTTAAAATAGTGCAAACAAAGTTGAGTTAGAAAAACGAGTGTCCACATTTCAAACTGGTAGATGGTATTTAGTCAGTACTGAAGGACAAGATGAATATGACATAGGTCACTGCTCAGTAACCAATTAATTAGAAATGAGAATATTGAAAAAGATATATTTGTATTCTCAACGGAAGTGGCTTCTTACAGTAGATCATTCGCAACATGAATAGCTCAGTAGTATCATCTATAATCGTGACTTTGTGTGAAATGGGTTTGGATTTCATAATGAATGTCAACTGATGTAGTTAGCCAATCAGACGTAGCCGAATGAAGTCGCTTGATGACAGTCAAAAGTGACCTGAGGGATATCTGCATATCCTTAGCTAAAAAAATTTACTGTTTTTCTAAGGCGTATATATATATATATATATATATATATACACGAGTATTCGCGCATAATACTTGTCAGCCCAATAGACTTCCTTTTCCCCTATGGTCTTCTCGCTCAAGTAGTTAGTTGAGGATGGGTTAGTGCGTATCAAGTTATGTATCAACATCAGATCTCGGACACTTCATATCATAACATCAACTCTCTAAAGAATGTAGACAAATCACTTTTGACTAATACCAGCTAGCTGGAAACTTAGATCTATGACTCTCTGTCAATTGTCACCAATGATCTAACTTCAAATTAAGTGTAACTAGGTTTGTGAAATTTCAACCAACACAGATGGCTAGCTAACATAACACTGGTCACTACTAAGTAGGAATCATCAGTTTGTCTTTTTTTAAGTATCAAAACAACTTGTTGTTAGTATTATTGTTCTTTTTTTTCGATACTTTAATATTTTAGAATTGTTTTGGTCTATATGGAGCAGATTTCCTGTTAACTGACAATGACTACAGAATATGGCTTATTGAAATTAATTCAAGTCCATGTATGTCACCGAGTACATCTGTTACAGCTGTATACACTGCTAGTGTATTAGAAGATACTTTGAAAGGTAGTTTATGTAATACTTTCTGTCTTATTTTATTCTTTCATTTTGTTTGATAAATGAGGAATCATTGACAAATTCCTTTTTTATTTATTACAAAATTATTTTTATTAAAACTACGATAAGTATGAAGAAGTCCATAAATTCAATGAAAAGTTCAGTCGGAAAATGAATCCTATTACAAACGAAATATTTCCGTAATCACTTCAAATAATGTTCACTTGACTCAATGAAACACTGAATAGTAGACTTATCTCATATGTACCAGGCAGTTAGATGATTATATTTAACTTGAAAAGTATTTTTACGAACTAGAAATTTTTAAAATTTAAGGAAAATACAAAAAAGCTATCAATAAAACTTTCTTGTCTTCGAGTTAGGTGGATACAATGAGAATGAAAATAACTGTGAGAATTATGTCATAAGTCTAAATCACTTAAATGTATTAGGTTAAACAATTCAAAATTTAAATTCAAACAAGCCTTTAAATGTTTGTATAACGCATCATGGCTTAGGTTATCCTCAATATTCTCTACGTTTACTAAGTATGTCATAGACTAGTACTTTCGGCCAATTTTCAACTCAATAAATTGGTGATTGCTGAATTTTCAAGAGTAATTTTTGTGAATGATTTTCTTTTTAGCGTCTGAAAGTATCCACAAATATCTGCTATGAACATTTCCAGTGTAGTGCAGCCTCGTATAGTTGATCGAAAACACAAATACAGGGTTGAGATTTTTTTTTCTTGAAAATGTTCTCTTAAATGTAGCACTCAGCCACTAAATGACTGGAAAGTAGATGAAATTGTTGGGTACCACTCACTTAGCGGACGTTGATGACTTTGTATATAACTTCAGCTCACATCAACACTTTAATTTTCATCCGATTCAACAGATTCAACAGACTATCTCACTAAATTCTGATAATTATACAGTAAACAGTTAATTTGCAAAATAACAATCAATTATCTCAATCTTAATTGTTCATTCTGTAAATATCAATCCATCTTTTCTGATTTCATTGTTCATGCATTTTCGTGCCGGTTGCGCTTCATTCCTGTTCGTTCCTTATCGATCTTCTGCCAAAATACATTCTATGTCTGACCCTCACCATATGCTACTTATATGGATATAAGTAGACACACCACACTAGTTTCACACAACAATTACGTGAAGTCAATTGATTTTATTTTCGCGTCGAACAAGTTAGCAAATATCCTCTCTGATTCTTAATCATTAGATTCTTATTGTTTTAAAACTATTTATGTAACACTTCATTTGGATGTCTATTAACTAATAATGTAAATGGTTTATGTATAATATTTAATACGGGGTCACCGAAATTATTGCACTACTTATATTTTAAGGTTTAAATTTTCTCGTTGTCGATATTACGGGCCTTTCTAATTGATCAATATTTATTTGCATGTATGCACCCTGAGCGAATTTCCTAAGTAATGCCTTAAGTCAAAGGTTTTAGCATATTCAGATTGTTGCTAACATTGGAATCCAGGATGCTTCTCTCTTTAGCATCATCTATATCATCCATAAAGACTGCTTCTGTCAATTCTTTATACTAAGGAAAAATAATCAACATCTGTTTTATGAAGTAATTCACTTTAAAATAGTCGATTCGTCTTCTAAACGGTTGAACAAATAAATTTTACCACAGAGTGGGCATAGAATGTAATTGAGGTTTTACTATAGCATTCTTTCTGAGGCTGTACTCCTGAATTAATTTTTTTAGTTATATTTTTAAAAAAATCACTAAGTGTTGAACACATGAGACTAATCAAGTTATATTTTTCCAATATTTTGTTTTAACTAGTTGTTTTAGATAAAAAATACAATCGTAACTCGGATGTTGGACGTTTTGAATTATTGTATAGACAACCATTTCATAATCCATCTACTATGTACACTGGTATGGAACTTTATGTAATTGGATCAAAAATAAGTAAACCACAATTGGAAAATACAACTGTCCTACGTTGTTTTAATAAAGCAACACTTGATTTCAATGGTCAGTCATTACCAAATCCAGAAGTGAAGGTTATGTCAACAATTGTTAGAGATAAGAAGAATATGTCTCCTATTGTCCTGTTAGTTCATGAGTGAAGTCGTATTGAGTTTATTTACTTACTTGAATGGATTATTTTGACACTAATCGATCACTAAATATTCACTAATGCCATGTCATTATTGCTAATGGAATTCTATTGAGTAATTACTCAAAGTAACTTCGTATTAAATTCAAATACCTATGGTTGAATTCATGAGTCGATATAAGTTAAACCATCACTGAGAGCCTGAAAGTACTTGACGGTCGCTTCGTCCCAGTATGGGACTCCTCATCAATACGCATCCACGATTCCACACGCGTGACTCGAACTCAAGACCTTCGGTCTCGCGCAAGAACGCTTAATTTCCAGACCACTGATCCGTCATCCGACGGTATTAATGTCTAACTTAAATCGACCAGTTATCTTGAGTGACCCTTCATCCATTGTCTGAGGTGGATAACTGTCTCACACCCGACACGGATTGGATTTTACTGGTCACGGCTACTCACTGGAACTCCAGGAAATCCATCTTAAAGCTAGTCATTAGTGAGCATATGATTACTGTCAGAATGGGTATTGACTCATGAATTCAACTATTAAAATTACTACAATCTCCACAAATCCCCGTTCTGATAAATTCAAATTGACGACAGTTGTTTGAAAGGCATTAGTAAGAAAAATTGCACTAAGACTTTGTTTTAAACCCATTACAACTAGTAGAATAGACAAAATCGCTTTTTTATCGGTTACCAAGGTTCTTTAATACGGAGGAGGAATGACTTTCAGATAAATAGGTAGGAAAATACAAACATAATGAATGACATTTGATCCTAACTGAGAATGTGTATAACTGGGTGAGCGTGATAGTCCTTTCGAGTTAAGAATATGGCAAACAATCTATTCCTTAGTTTGAATTTCACTAACCTGAAATTTATGTTGATTATTCTTGAAGATTGCTTCTGTCGAGTATTATTATGAAGACAAGGTAAAGAATGCTCATTTTATTGAACTGTAAAGTTAAGCATTAAACAAATATATTTTTATCATGTCTAACCATACATATATGAAATCTTAGTGTGGATTCCCAGTTGTATAAATCTGTGATATGGACTATTAACAAGTGAAAGATACATGTTGATTGTCTGCTTACCGCAACTTTAAACCAACAAGACACTTATAATGCTTACTTACGCCTGTTACTCCCAATGGAGCATAGGCCGCCGACCAGCATTCTACAACCCACTCTGTCCTCTGCCTTCCTTTCTAGTTCTATCCAGTTGTTGTTCATTTTTCTCATATTCGTTTCCATTTCTCGGCATAATGTGTTCTTTGTTTTCCTCTTCTGATTTGGCCTTCAGCATTCCAAGTGAGGGCCTGCCTTGTGACGCAGTTGGGTGCTTTCCTCAATGTGTGTCCAACGCTTCTTCCTGATTTCTTCCTCCGCAGAAATCTGGTTTGTTCTCTCCCATAGTAGATTGTTGCTGATATTGTCTAGCCAAAGGATCCGAAGCATTTCGCTTAGACAACTATTAATAAACACTAGTATCTCTGGGTGGTTTTTCGTAGTTCTCCAAGTTTCCGCCCCATACAGTAGAACTGTCTTAATATTTGTATTGAAAATCCTGATCTTGGTGTCGGTTAACAACTGTTTTGAGTTCCAGTTGTTCTTCAGTTGTAAATATGTTGCTCTCGCTTTGCCGATCCGCGTCTTCACATCTGCATCGGATCCACCGTGTTCATCTATGATGCTCTCCAGATATGTAAAGACCATTACATCCTCCAAAGCTTCTTCGTCAAGTGTGATTCGATTGGTACGTGTTGTGTTGTATCAGAGAGCCTTGCTTTTCCCTTTGTGTATAGTGAGACCTACTGCTGCTGAGACTACTACTACACTGGTCGTCTTCTCCTGCATTTGTTGTTGCGTGTGTGATAGAAGAGTCAGATCATCTACGAAGTCTAAATCATCCAGCTGCATCCTAGCTGTCCATTGTATCCCGTGCTTCCCCCCAGATATTGACGTCTTTATAATCCAGTCGATCAGCAGGAGAAAGAGAAAGGGTGAGAGTAAGCAACCTTGCCTGACACCGGTCTTTACCTCGAATGATTCGGTGATTTGTCCTCCATGAACGACTTTTCAGTTTAATCCATCATAGGAATTCCGCATGATGTTGACTATGTTCTCAGGCACGCCGTAGTGTTAAAGAAGCCTCCATAGTGTTTTCCTGTCCACACTACCATATCCGTTCTTGTGGTCAACGGAGTGAATGTAGAGTGATGAATTCCATCTAATTGATTGTTGCACAATGATCCGCAGTGTTGTGAATTGATCAGTACACGATCGATCCTTACGGAATACAGCCTGTTGGTCTCGAAGTTGGGCGTCTATGGAGTCCTTTATTCTGTTTAACAATACCTTATTGAAGATTTTTCCTGGTATTGAGAGAATATTGATGCCTCTGTAATTCTCAAACCTGCTGAGATTTCCTTTCTTTGGTATCTTGATCAGGTGTCCTTCTTTCCAGTCTGTTGGTACTTGTTCTTCATCCCAAATCTTGCTGATTAAAATGTGGAGTATCTTTGCAGTTATGGTTACATCTGCTTTCAGTGGTTCTGACGGAATGTTGTCTGGTTCTGCTGATATACCACTCTTGATTTGTCTAATGGCCATGCTCATCTCTTCAATTGTTGGTGGGTCAACATCGATTGGGAGGTCCGTGGGTGTTGGATGGGTTCAATGGGGCTGATCGATTTAAGGGTTCTTTAAAGTGATCTACCCATCTGTTTCGTTGGTCCTCAATGTTGGTGATTGCTTTGCCTTCTTTGCTTTTCACTGGTCATTCTGGTTTATGATAATTTCCAGCGAGCTTCTTTGTTGTATTATACAACTGTCTCATATTTCCTTCTCTCGCAGCCCTAAGACACTTATAATAATGAGTCTAAAACACATGACGTGCCATAAACGTATCGATATTTAAATACACCTAGATAGCTTATTTAAAGTGTAATCGATGAACGAACCCAGGAATGACAGGATTAAACGTCCAACACCACACCGACTCTCTTCAACCTTGTTTGACTATACCATGTGTATGCACCAATCATAATCCTTTATGTCTTTCGTAAACGATATTAAGTTTATTGACTTATTTTTCCTGTCCTCCGGTTACTGTTCGGTAACTGATTTTTGTCGCTCTTTCTCCCTGTCACGTAGACATAATAATTGTTCTTTTTTGTATGCTAACGATGTTAATTTACGTTTTAGCAACACATAATGTTTATCTAGCGAAATAGCTTACTTGTTCTTACTTTGGCTAAGCTAAGACTGTGTTCAACAGTTTGAAGATTAGTTTTTAATCCCATCTTCAGAAGCTCACTTTCTACAGCTTGGAATCCCCATCTGAGTAAACTCCTTTCTCCAAGTCTACCTCTTTATCAATATACTACTCACAAAATATGAATAGTTTAATTTATTTACTCAATAATCGTTTACATTTTGTTCTAATTCATATTCTAGAAGGCAAACGAAATCACAAACACGAAAAGAAATTAAGCCATCGAACACAGGTGATGAGTATGAATGCACAACTGAAATAGCAAAAGGAATGAATGGCTTACTACCACCTATGAAGTGTGGAAAATTTCCAACTGATAATCAGTCAACTATGAACATAAATATTGGTAATCCAGTCAAACATTTACAATCGGTAAAGGAAACAAGGAAAAGTTCACGGTCAAAATCTTGCAAATATGAAAATGAATTGAAAATTTGCAACGTTCCTACTGTTTTAAGGTCTGTAAAAAATATTAGGTATTTGACTGGTCTGGAATCTAGTGTTTGTCTATCGAAATACAATGATGATATTTCACATGACGTCAATCTTTTAAAATCAAGTCGATCGGAGTCTTATCTAAAATCATCTCTAGAAGAATTAGATAAATCGAGACCACTAATAAATTGCACTGGTATTTCAAGTGTTAAAGATTCCCCTACATCCAACTTGAATCAATCGAAGCTACGACTAATGAATAAAGGTGAGCTGAATCAGTACACTGAATATGAAACATACAATAATACAAATCTATATTCTTCTCACCAAAGTATACATAGTAAAAATAAAAATTCACAGTCATCATCATTATTATTACCTAAAATACACAAAAATCAAAATTCAGAATCTAATATAAAACTAGTTAGTTTAAATTTAAACCGACCAAGATCATCGAATAAAATAAAGAGATTATCATTGAAACTTGAACAACATAGAAATGAAAAGTTGAATGTTGACACAATACATAATACAACTTCATCTAATTTCATTTCAACACAAGCTAATTCAATTAGATATTTACATGAAAAGGAACTATCCAAAAGACAATCACATTTTGAAAAGATTATAATAGACAAAAATAAGCAACTCATTAATAGACCAAATAAATTGCAAACAATTGGGAAAATCAAATCTGCATCTTCACATCAATCATTAACCCATCAGTCTACACTTATTGTAGACCAACTAGATACAAATTATATACGGAAAATACCTACTTATAAAAATTATATTGATAAAATCAAACTGAACATTATACAATTTAATGAAGGAGATAGTCATTTGAAGCATATTCATCATGAAAAATCAAATCATAATAAGTTGTATAAACATATACAGAAAAGATGTATTATTCTACGTAGAATGAAAAAAATTAGAAAATCACCAGCAATACGAAGAAAATCATTAACTTGTCAATCACAGTCAAAACTTTCTAAAGTTTTGATAGTAAATCAAAGATTGGCAGATTCAACTATGAAAGATAATTCTTTAATGAATTTTAATGAAGTTTATAACTGCCGAAAATTGAAGGACAGTAGTGATAAGAATACTAATAATGATAAGAATACTGACAGTATTCTTAATAATCTTAATGCTAGTCACTGTGATGTCACAATTAATTCTAGTGACTCTGTCACTTTGGATAGTAATGATCCAAATGAAATCTCAAAGATCATTACTTCTTCCCCAAAATCATCTCTGAAGCAAAGTTCCACAGATTCAGGATTTGATGATGAAATATCAACTCAATCGAAAACCTTTTTACCATTAGATAATCTTTCAGCAGTTATTACCAACAGGAATAATAGTGATAATAAGGCGATATCTAATGATATTTCATTTTGTAGCTTTATTAATTCTAGTAAAATGTCCGTCAATTTTCGTAATACAGACGACACAAAATTCCACAGGTATAATATTAATGATAAATTTAATCTGAAATTCCTTTCTCGCATTGCAAACGATTAATTAATTGAAAGCAATATGCTGATCGGTTTATTGCAGTCTAGTGATGATCCACGCTTAATTATCACCTTATCTCATTCTTTTTCTGTTCTGGATTGCTCAATTACTTTTAATCTCTATTGTCTACAAAGTTTTAACTTTATTCACTATTGTGAAATCCTTAGTTTACTGTGATAACCTTCAACTTTGGGATGAATTATTAAAGAATTGTATTAACTGATATATATTTTTTTCATGAATCATTTAAACTTACATCTTGTCATTTTAAGTATTCTACAAGTATTCCTCCAATGCATATGTAAATCATTTAGACTTATTTTTAATTTATCAGATATTTTATTTGTTTCACAAATCGATATATTGATTAAAAATCAGGAATGATGAAACGTATTTTAGTTATCACAAATAGACATTATTTACGAGGATTGATATTTTCGGCTTGAACCAATAGATGTTGATGGATCAGTTATTTATGTTAATAAATTTATATTACTTTTTGTCAGTAAGTAACACTACGTATCTCGTCGCCTTTTTATTAAATGATGGAACATATTGTTTTATAGGAGTTTTAGCCCTGTCTAATCTATCTTATATTGAAATATTAGAGTTTGTTTAATATTTCAAACTGACAAGGTGCGAAAGACAAAGCGAATCATTAGTTCAGATAGGATTTCTGGGGATGCTGATCAAACAGAGTTTAATAGCAGATTAATTTAAATAACCTACTATTTAGTGGGCATGATCTAACCACCCACCTTCCAACCATTGTCAGAATCTAGATAATTAACGTCATGATGGAAAATTTTTTAAATCTTTTTGCCATTACATGTACTTGACATGCATAGTTAGTGGGTTAACTATTAACAGTGTTGTATAAAAAACATTAAATGAGTTAACAAAAACAAGTCTCTTCGCGTGTGAAGTTAATTCCTAACCATAGAATTCAGCATATCTACATCTATTTATTTCTTAAAAATTTTTAAGGATATTTTTTATGCGTACCATATTGAAACTGACAATCATGACCAATCAGTATCGATAAGGGAGGCTCTAACATCGAATATCAAATATTTCCTAATTTTACGGTAGATAGACCTAAAATAAAGAACTAACCTGAAATTCCCCGAAAAATCTGAAACGTACCTACCTAGTACAGTGAGGGATAGTCGCATGATATCGCTGACTGATTGAGTTAGACTTGAGAGCAAATGGATCTCGGTTCAGTTGTCTGAAGGTCAAACATCCGAATGTGAAGCCGGAGGTTCTAAATTCGATCTGCGGTTACCGGATCGTGATCACATACTACTGAGGAGTCCCAACTTAGTATAGAACAGTCGTCCATTGGTTCCATGTTCCTAATGGTTGTTTAACTTAGATTGATTTCAATGAAACTCACCAATCTCCATAACCCCATACTGACTAAAAAGTAAATTTCCGTTTTTCATCCAAATAATCTGTTTTCACGCTTTAACATGGAACAATATGATCAAAAATTGTTTATAAATAGTATAGTCAGACTCAGTTATTATACAACATATCCTTAGTTTTTTATTGCATAATATAAAATAGAGTTCTTTTGATGAATAACAATGTTATCAGCCATTTTCATATTAGAACTTTAACTACTCGTAACTCATACCTTCGAAAGGAATTTCTTTACTTTTTAGAGAACGGCGGGGTTATAATGTATGGATGACCTAGGGGTACCCTGAGAATGTCCATCTACTTACTAGGATTAAAATAGGGTTATAAATGAATGTAAGGAGTTAGAATTACGACTTAAATTTTGACAGTTAAGATTAAGAGTAAGAGTTAGGGATTTCATCACGAACTGAAAATAGCCATAATGCCAAAGTCCCATTTAGCCATATAGATGAATGAATTTCGTGCCAAGATTCAAAATTCACTATCTTCAATTCAACTAATTCGTCCATAACTTGCGATCTCGTCAAAAACTCACTAATTTCAATATGTTACCAAGTAAGCGGTTGTAAATGTTTTCTAATTCACAAATACCAATTATACGGAACTTAACACGAAGTTTCTCAAATCATTATTTGTATTGTCAATGAAATTAAATGAAAAATGATGGAAAATATTCAAACTATTTTTAACAAATATTGATAATCATTAAAAAAAGTTGAATGTTTAAAGTAATTCTTCGTTGTATCTTTTTTAAAAAAAATTTGTTTATATTACTGGTTTTATATTATTTAAGCGACTAGTAATACAACAACATCAAATGTATCAATTATGAAAAATGTAATTCAAGATAATATAGCATACGCGCCAAATTCAAATATTTCACCAATTATAGACAATTCAATAAGTCAATTACCATCATCATCATTATATCGTCGACCATTGTCATGCTCAAATAGTAAATGGATAATGACTAACCTGTTATCAATGCCATCATCTTTGACAATTGTTTCTTGTAAACTTCATAATGTGAAAACTAAATTCACAATAAACAATTAAGTTTGTTCACATAGAAATTGTATTGATTCAATTCAATGAAATTCAGAAAAATTTAACTGATTAAAATAATCTGTTACTGAGATTAGTTAATTAATTAAATGATAACTAAATATACTTTTTTTCTGTATTTAATAATTTTGTAGAAATAAAATAATAAAAAATTATTTTTTAGTGAATTTATAATTTTTTGTATTACAACTAAATAATTATAAAATTTTTTTATTACAATATGATATTAACTGAATGGTTAGCGAAGTTGATTAGTAACAGCGCAGATGTTTTGTGAGATTTATGGTATAGCATAATGATATTGTGCTGTATGCTATTGATATGGATACATATAAGTAGTATGTATCATAAATCAGAAGTAAAATGTCTAGCAGCAGAAGGTTAAGAAGATCGAAGAAAAGAGGACGACGGTGTTTGAAGCGAACTATACTGTGTTCGAGTCCCGAAGTAAACATATACCCGGATCCAGGTACATGCAGCTGACGAGTCACAAACACAATGACACGCGTGCCATGTATTTCACTGCTAGCTACCATCCATCTCTCCTTAAAATTTAATAAGTGTTGCAGATTATTAGCATTATAGATTATAAATCTGAAAATTACAGAATTGGATTATAATTAATTGTGAAATAACAAAAAATAAATTGAAATATATTACCTCTTGTACGTGGATAGAATCTTGTTATTATAATGATTGTAAACATTGCCATTCAGACTATTCAATTACTGATTGAAAACATCTAAGTTCCTGTTAATTTTGTCTACTACATCTCCACAAATTGCAATAATGTTATGGCCAACTAATTTGAATTGGGAATCAACTTTACAGAAGTGAGTGGGTAAGCAAAGGATTTATGTGAATTCTCAACAATGAATAGAATATAACTTATAAGACTGTATTTAGACATCATGCAGTCTTTACGAAGATTATTCTAACTATTGAAATCTTTTATTTTTCATAAACATAATTTCACTTAAATAACTAATGATAATAATAATATCTTTGAAACAAATTCACTGTTTGATAAGCTGACCATATAATTAAGCATGATAAGATTAGGGTATCTTCTAAGGAATGAATAAAAAACGTCGAATAATTATTTTGCTTTACTGTATAAGTTTCCAATATTATCAATATTGTAGACCCTTCATACTTAGGAGGTATTAACAACCGCTCATAGAAAAATTATTGATGCAATTCATACAGCGGTGATGAATTTGTCGTACATTATAATCATTATCTCGCATTAACTGTATGTTTTGAGTTTCCAATCAAAGTAACTTACAGATTCAAAATGCTTGATGAAAATTCAAGATAATTTAATATTTTATGATACTACTTAATTGGACTATAGACTTTTAATTAGTATATTCTTTATCATCGTCATAGCTATTAGCTCATGATAGGAATCGTTTTTTAATCCTATATATCTAAAATAATGACAACACACATATTTTTGGTAGTACTGTTGTTTAATTACGAAGATCCATCAGACTATTAGTCAATTATCCATAGAATGAATCAATAACGATTTTATAAAGTTCCTTATGTAGTTAATTGAATACTCAATAGCTTGTAAGATTTGATTTCACTTTGAAAACACATAATCATATACAACAACCATTGTGAAACAGAAATTACTAGATAGCTCTTTTGTTTTAGTATATGAAACTCTTTAGTTGTACACTTCTATGACCATTTCAAATATTGAATCATTCTTAGAATTGAATAATTTATATAAATATTTGATACTTAATATTTGATCTAGTAACATATCAATCATGAATACCGTTGTTGGATACTTGAACAAGGTTATTTAAAATATGTATTGTTTTCTTTTGATGAAGACAAGTTTAAACGTAATTTACTTTTAGTAATAATAATAATAATAATAATCTCAAACACATATGTTAAACAGTTTTTTTTGGAATTTGTATTGTTTACTAATATTTTTTTGCGAATACAAACGAAAAAGAAAACTAAACATTGACGTCTTCACTTTTGAACATCTTTTATTGAACATATTGTAATGGTCATTACTTTGAATTTTTTATTTACATTTGAAACATACACACACAAAAAAGAAAAGATTATTATAACGGGAATTTGAATTCGCTCCGTTGTTTATGTATATTGAGTATATTTCTATACACAAACATATCCATATATATAGAGAGAGAGGGGGGGAGGGAGGAGAGAGTGTAGACATATAGACATACTTATATTAGACATATACAAATAGGGTTACACGATTTAAATTTGTAAAAGTATTTATATCTACGTGTATATTATCACAGTTACACCTGTTGAAGTATTTTCTTTATTGTAATTAACTTTAATTATTTTTCTTTTCTTTTCCTTTTTTTTGTATAAAGGGCACAGAAAATTATTTTTTCCAAAAATATTTTTTTTTTAAAACACACTCACTTAAAAGTTTTATTTCTTAAAGAGTTAATGGATTTATTGAAATGAACTATTTAGTGAATGGGTACATATATGTGTTTATGTGTATATCTATCCATTTATAGATTAATATTAAAGATGTTTCATATTGAACTCAAAAATATTTTATGGCATATATTAACTAAACAAGTTGAGTATTTTATCACTAAACGAATATACCTCAACATCAGTATTCTCTTTGATCTAAGTATACATATATGTATATATTCTTTGTGTGTCCCTTTTTCAGATTGTCGACCATCTCGGGATTATTTTATACATCCAAGTTCAATTATTTCTTTATGTTCTTCATATTTCACTTAAAGACAAACATACATATATATAGAGATGAAAGGGACGTTTAAAATTAAAACTGGAGCATAGATCTATACGTTGTTGTTTATGTGTATGTATGTGAATACTAATTTTAATGATCAAGCTTCTGGATATATATGTAGGCTCACGTACATGTCATTTTATGAACAAAAAGACAGAATAATGACCAACAATAAATTGTAAAGATGTATCATTTCATGTAGTAAGAAAAATATTTAACCACCCATTTAATAACTCAATTGAAATCCCTTTTCTCTTCCTTAAATTCGAATAGGATTTTAAATGAAATTTTCTTGTAAAACATATAATTATATGTTTCTATATTGTGCTTCATTAAGGTGAAGAGTAGGAGTTTAATTGAAAAGCAAAAAAAAGAAAATATGAAACACGCATGCAAAGTAATGAGGTGTTTGAATAGGTTAAGTTCAATCTCATTGATTGTTTCATTGTCTTATTAAATTAGCCATATTATTTTTATTTGAATTACGATAGTAGATATTATGAACGTGAAAAGTTATTGGACATAATATCTACGTTACTCTATACTAAAGAGTTTTTAATTTCCTGTTGAGGATTAAATATAATCAATCTCTGTCGGCATTTATACATCCTGACTGGACGGTATCGATATATAGCCTTTGGTAACAAATTTTAGTGTATTTGACTTGTAGTAGTAGTGGAATTCATAATATCTGTTCCTTCCATTTGATAACTCGCCAGTTGAATGTACCTGGATACCACTGTTGATATTCATCTCCAATCCTTAATATCAACTACGAGAAATTTCAACTCCTCAAATATAAATTCTTACTCGTTGAATAAGTTTATGGTCATCCGAATTCAGTAGTTTATAAGATAACTGTTGTGTCTTGTTATTAAAACTCAGTACGGCCTACGATGTCACGAATTCAGGGACTAAAACGATTGGGTTTCTCTAATACGATCAATTAGCAATAATGCATTTATATCCCAAGTGGTGGAGACTGGATTCGAGTCCCAGTGCGAATTTCAACACTGTTCAATCTATGGTGAGATTATGAGACGAAACAGCTTTGCGGTACCCTCTAGTCTAAAAGATGCTCTAACTACAATCAATCTGTAACATATAGGACGTAAAAATGCATTTATATTTTAAGTTGCTCACAATTTTTAAAAAAAATAACGGGTTGATTAATTATGACTGAGTTATTACAGATGATTTCAAGATTAACTATTTACATCAATATTACATTAATCAAGATGATAAATTTAATTGACAGCTTAGATCACGTGTCAAAATATCTACAAATAAAGTGTAATATTAATTCATTTGTGCAAATTTTGATTACAAGTAGTCAAAATACACCTATGAATCTTATTTTCGTATCTGTTGTCATTAATAAGAAAGCTGTGTCTAAAATATAGCCAGAGGTAATGCTTTCCATAACTGTCAAATGAAAGCAGATCACTGATGTGGTATTCCGGTCATTTGAGACTGGTGAAGCCTCTTTCGGTAAAGCCCATAAGTTTATCTGGGTTAGGATCCACTTTTTGAGGCTCACGAACTTACCATAAGGACGTGACTTCGTGGAAAAACCGTTTGAAACCCATAACATACATACAGGTATATTGACCCACCTAGCAGAGTAGGTAGTCACAGCTTTCGTTGAATATATTTTCCACAACTGACTATCTTTTACGTATTACTTACATGCCGCTGGTACAGAGACTTTCGCCCATGTATTTCATGAAATACACATAAGCATAAGCATATTCTCAGGGGGGAGGTTGGTGGTCACCTCTCCCTAGTATTCGCTGCCATATCTTCTTATTATGGCCGAACTTATGAGGCATA